CCTCCAATCCCCACCGCCACTTTCTCACTTTTTCTTTCCTGCCTATATTATCTTGCTCTCTCGCTCTCTCACTCTCTTCCTCTTTACAACTTAACAAAAAGATTGCAGATGGTAATTCCACGCTTGAAGCACAACAGATCATCTTTCTCCTCCAGCTTTTCTCCACTGTGCATCTTTCACAAACCGTATCGTACTTTTTTTCTCTTCCATTTACTTTTTAAAAACACTGTCGGCTTCCATTGCTCTCTCTCTCTCTCTCTCTCTCTCTCCTCTCTCTTGTCGAGAACACATGGTATTACATACGGGATGTGGTTATGCTGTATGTATCCTACGTGTAACACATTGCGAGAATTGCTGAATGAATTCAGAATGCGTAGGATAGGCAGCACATAACCAAAATAGAAACTATGGCGTTTGCTTGCAGCTATGAATTATCATTAAACATTGTAAATCCTACTATGGTAGTGCAAATAATTTTTTTTTTTTATTCGTAATGCCGTCAGATGTTTTATAACTTTTAGGTAAAAGTATCTCAAGATGCAAAAGTAACAATCAATTGGTTATAATTATGAGCGAACCAGAGAAGGAAAGCTATCGATAAATAATCAGTCATTTAACGATAGGTATATCATTAATCTTAAATCATTAAATTACCTCGGGCTTTACCGACCTACGTACGGAAAATACAAAAGATACTTTCCTACGCATTCCGCAGTCAATTTCCCGTATATGTACCGCAACTACAACTAAAACTCCCATTAATAAGTGATTAAACTTTACATTGTCGACGAATGTATGCAGATGTAATTGCACTCGTTAACGCTCATTTTAATTAGCTTCGTTAGTCACTAGTTTTCTAAACATTTCTACAATAAGCCTAATCACAAGAATCTCAAACCCGACTTTTATTATTCACATAATACACGTGAATATGCATGCAGCTTTAGCATTCTGATATTTTAGCCGGCCGGATAACGCACAAAGTCAACATAAATGAAAATCAATGTTTAAGCCAAGTGAATAATTACGTCACTTGCGATAATTGTGATAAATAGGTCAATAGCTTATTAAATAAATAAAATATAACGAATTATATAATTTTACACTGGCGAATGATGTGATGTGACCATTACATATAAACAATATTTTACCTTTGAATTTCACCGTACAATTGGCGTGGATCAATAATTTCCGTAGGCATTTGAATTTCAAAATTTTTAAATATCTCATTTTTGAAGTGCAGACAAATTTTGAATAATGACAATTTCGTATTAATACGTGGATTAAATATTTTTTTTTCAACGAATATTATAAACAATTTTTTTTTTCTTTGTTTTTGACAATCTCACATTTTCGTTATCAAATTTTTGCTCTAAATTTTCATCTACGCATTCGTGTCGTTTATGTAAAATACTTTAGCAACTTTTAATTCTTATGACTATCGCAATACACGGACAACAAACATTTTTAATTTATACGGAAGCTTTCTATACTAATCGTATTGAATTTTACATCGTTTCACTTAAGATATTAATCATCAAACCGTTTGATCTTTATCGTCATATCACATTGGTTTTTGCATTCTTTAATTTATTTTATACTTTTTATTTAAATTTTTCCACAAAACCATAATCGATTCTTTATGTTTATTGTCCTTCTCTAGTTAATTTTTATAAATTAACTTATTGTGTAATATGGTTTATCGTTTGTTTGCTTGTTCTTTTTCATTATCATATTTCTGTTTCTGCTCTATCTCTCTCTCTCTCTCTCTCTCTCTCTTTTCCTGTACCTCTCTCTTTTTTAATTCATGTGTTTAAACTTAAAAAACTTCCATCTAAATATTTTCATAAATTTTCTAATATATTCGGAAATGTGCAAATTAAATAACATCATTGAATCTTATTGTAAGACAAAATAAAACACCTCATAAAGTACTAAAAAAATTTACATTACAACGATGATCCTGTTGGAAATTAAGGCGAATAAATCTACAGATGCAAGTACATCAAATTCAATTAAATGAAATATTTATATTATAAAACAACGTCAAAGGTTTTTATTTAAAATTTGTAATTACATTCGTCGGCCCGACATATTCTATTTAATATCAAATATTACGATCGTGCGTGTGACCGTTCGGCGGGTTTCTTTTGAATTTCTGAACTGATAAGCACTTTTATAGCGTTATCATTTAGTTTGAAAGTAGCCTACAACTATGTAATTTGCTTATCCCATTTTGAAAATGTACCTTTGCCGCCGACGAATTACAAGAAAGAAAATTTGTCGTAAATGCTCGTTTTCATAACTAGTAAACTTAGTTGCTAATCTCAACTATTAACGCTGTAATTATTTTTCAATATTTAATGCTTGTTATTGTTAAAAACATTCTCTCGTACTTTCCCTTATGCTAGATGTCCTTTTTATTAAATCTACAATTTAATACAAACTTGTTACAAGTAGTATTTCGGCAACAAAATTTAAACAGAGTCGATCTTATCGACCTTGAAAAACTATAGCACTTCTGTTTTACTTATCTGGAATTTGTACTTCATTGTAATTTGTACTTAACTATTGGCGTCAAATACTTCTAATATTAATATTATTCTTAATCACTATCTGACGTAAAGCACAAACACATTTCTTAACTCAATAATAATATAATTTGTTACTTTTACAAATCATTAATTATCGTATTGTATTCAATTGGAAATTTTGATAAACCAATATAGTTAATAGTGTTCACATACAATATTTTTATTTCTATTTTTATAATAAAATTTTATTATGAACCGATTAATATTTACAATCGTAGGACCAAAAAAAAAAAAAAAAAAAAAAAAAAAAAAAAAAAAAAAAAATATTTTTCATATAAAAACGATCGCGTTCTGGAAAAATTTTTTTTTAATATATGACGTTTCTGAAACTGGAGAACAAATAATCAAACAAGAACCAATCTTTCAACATTAAAAAATATTTCCAATTAATATGCGCTTATGATTTTACAAATGCAGAAACAGAAAATGCAGAATTAATTGAAATTTTTAGTATGAAAATGTCTTAAACACGAATTATTAATCCTTATAATACACAGCCGTAACACGTGTACATATAATTCTTATAATCCGTAAATAAATACTATAATAATTTTATTAATTTTACTGTTAGATATACATAATTTACTATTATATAAAATATTATATTTGAAAATAATCGCTAGTAACCGTTAATAATTAATGGAATTAATAATGTAATTTTTTCGTAAAAAAAACCTTGATATAGATTAAAAATTGTTCTATTTCTTTTGACTAAATGTAATTATAATATATCTTATTATTAATTTTACATTAATTTATAAAACAATCATAAACTAAATTTTAAATAAATTTCTTTATTCAGAATAGATGAATTTCAAGTTTCAATTAAGTGCACATTATAATAACTTTGGAATTTTTTATCAAGGCACACATCTACACACGTAGATCTTATAAAAATCTAATTATTCTTTATAATTATAGTTAATAATTATCTTTACGATCCAAGGAATTTCAATACTATGAATTTTAATGCGACATTTTTTTATAATAAACGGCTACGTCTATTTAAAAAAAATTAAATTCTTGTATACGTAAGCGAACATTATTTCCAGCATTTTGAGGATAAAAAATCTTTTCATAATTTTTTACCTTTTTAATATTGATTTAACATTTTTATATTGCTAAAATATCAAATATAAAGACAATTTATTAAAAAAAAAAAAAAAAGTTGTAACGAAATGCCTACGGCATAGTCGCTTCTACGCAAAACGCATACTCGTAGACAGAGACACCACAACGAATGCGGTTTACCATTCCCATGTAATGAAAGGATTTGACCGCATCCGCCGCCGTAATTTCATTTGGAACGGAGAGGCCGAAAATTTTCCAAACGCTTTATAACCAATGAAACTTCCCATACGAAGCATAACAACACGTGTAAAAAAAAAACAGTGCTCCGATAGCAAAATAAATGAAGATTGACTCTACGACACCATATCACTGTTCTGTTATCTGTCCTTCGCTAGCTTCAACCTCCTCCCCTTACCACTCAATTATAATTTTATACATTTACAACGAAGTGCAATGGGTTAATGGGTAATCGATACTTGAAATTCAAAACCTTTTAAAAATATTTGAAATTGTACGTAAAACAATTCTCTCTCTCTCTCTCTCTCTCTCTCTCTCATTCTTCGCTAGATATCGGACCCTTCGTTGGCATGCTGCTCCAGGATCACCGGTAGTCTGGACAAGCATTTAAATTACACGTATGTTAGCCGAGTCTGCGACGCATATGGTATGCCACGGAGATGAACAATGTGTGCACCGAGAAGCTATTGATTATGGCCCTTGTCACAGCTGCGGACGTTGCTTACCTGCTGCGGAAGGCATATATCATTGTCGCTGCACGGCAATAAATCATAAGTTACTTTTCGAGAAAATCTACTGACGTATAGCATCGATTATTGATAAATGCATAGATTGCGATCGAACTGGGACTATATCAAAACATTATGAACTAATCAATAAATTTTTATTCGAAATAAAGCCTCTTTTCGTGATAAATTCATATATTAAATCAAGTATTTTTAAATAATTTACTATATACAAATATGTGTGCGTGCGTGCGTGTGTAGATAGATAGCTTTTTTCACCTGATATAAAAAGTCTTATCTGACTCATTGTGCTCGTCTATTAAATGATTATTAGTATTTATTAATTGTACGTGTTGCAATGTCAGTACGCGCATATTAAACATTACATAAAGTTTTTAATAGTACGCGTATTTGCCAGCATTCTATATATGTATATATATATATAAAAAAAAAAAATTAATTCTCAAATTTATTAATCATGCTCGCAATCGCTATTAATCTACATCTAATATTTTACTTTTTTTGAATTGATGGCTTAAGTAGCTATTTCTTTAATCAGTAATCGTTAACAAATTTAATTCTGTTTTCTTAATATCCTATATTATATCTGTACACATCAAATATAATAAGCTACTCGATTAATATGCAATAATCTACATAATTATCTTCGTTTCTTTGCTGACAAATAGCTTTACTTTATTCGTTTCAATAAAATATAATACAACGATTTATGAAATAATTTCACAACTAGGCATGAAATTCTACTGTCGTGCTTCAATTTGTCGCATTTATTTATTCCAAAACAAATGGTTTAAATGCGTTATTAATGCACAACATCTAATAGTTTGACAATTCGATGATGATAAAACAGTTTCGATACGCGTAATTTATCGACGAAAAGTTGAACATAAACAGCAGACATTAATATTTGAAAAATAAAGTTGTTGCCGTATATGTAATTTGTTGCGTATTGAATGGAATAAACTTTTTTTTAAAGAAAAATTGAAAAATGTAAATTAGAAATCAAGCCGACAAGTTCCAAATGCGCGCAAAACGTATCTAAAGAACGACTGTAAATATCGAAGGACGTTTCCATTACGAAGGACACGAAAAAATTTTTTTCTAATGGGACTAAGAAAGCGACGATATTCTTTTAGATTTTTATTAAGAAACGAAGCATTGATAACGGCAGCATTTTATTTTTCTGTCTTAGGCATTATCGCATTTAGGACAACGTTTAAAATGATCTAAAATAATTTTATTATGAATTCAAAGAAGAATGAGAAGAAGAAATTGGTGCATTGTAAATTTTCCTACTCTACATTATGAATTATGGAAATATTTAAAATTTTTTTTTTTTTTTTTTTTTTTTTAATTGTATTCGATGAAACCTTTAAATACAATTCATAAATAAAATATTGATTAACGTTTTATTGTATTTTAAAAGAATAGTACAATTTGAAAAAATAGATTTGCTAGTTTTTGTCCAATTACTTATCGTTTCACTTAAAAAAAAAAGTAAGTAAAAGTTTTAAGATAAAGATCCTAAATCAATTGCTCCTCGCCTTATCATAATTATAATAGATTTTACTATAAAATTGATAATTCTCGAAAAATTATTGGAATGCATTATTAACATTATTATTTAGTTCAAGTTGAGCTAAACACAAGCATCGATAATTAAATCTTCGATTTTTCTAATGATTAAAACTATAAATTATTCCATTAGATAAAATAGTAAAAGTTAAGTAGTTTGGAAAAGAATGACATAAAATACAGATACATTAATATTTATTTTAATTTATCGATAGATTGATCGAATGAATCTGTGATATTCAAATTTCTTGTTAAAGAGAATATTTTTAAAGCTTCGAGATTAATTGCCATCAAATGTGACGATAAAATTAGAATATAAATTAAATTACGAATCTTGTAAAATAAATGAACCGAATAATATAATTAGTTTAAAATAATATAATATTATCTATAACTTTAGAAGTTCTTTGTCGTGACTTTAATCTCTTTATTATGATTAAAGACGTTAGAAATCATATTATTAATTGTAATTTAATTTAAATTATTAGTATAATCTTATAATTTCTATCATGTCTGATGAACGTTTCTGATTTTTATTAAAAATATACAGGTTCGTTGAATACTCATATAAATACATTATACGAGTGCATATTAACGTATATAAATATAATTGAATAATTTTCTTGAAAAGTACAAAAGCTAAATTTATGCTATTAATCGCATAGATTAATAATAACTATTTTTCAAAAATCGAAATCAAATATTTTAGAATTATTTCGTACTTATCTAAGAGTAATTCGATTCAGTTTCCAGTCACTTTTGTATTGTACATTCATAAAGTATACATTAAAATCTGCATTAATGATTTTTAATATTTTATTTGAAAATTCCTGTAATGATCAAAAATTGTAAAAGTAAGAAATCGAACATTTAGAATAAAATACTCGTGAGATATAAAAGTTCACTCGCCAATATAAGAATATAAAAACGTAATTTTGAATTCACTACACAAACTAAGTAGAGTTCACAAGTCAAGTCATTCGTTCATAATTCTATTGTAAAACAATGCTTGACTAAGCATTGCAAAATTCAATAAGCAAGTCATGTTCTTCAAGATGATTACCTTTTCACACGCAATTTATTCATTAGCTTTAAGCATTTTAAATTACCTCCTTCAATTACTCGAAATAAATATCCAATACTAAATGTTTTATACGTAAAATTTATAACTATGTGTAATTAATTACAAAGTATAAATGTATTTGAATGAATTAAAAAAATATATTAAATAAAAATTGAAAGCTTGTGATATGCATTTATGTTTAAAGCATATAAACTTGCGTTATATTTTTTTTATTTATCAAATTTTAAATAAACTCATAAAAACTATATGTTTATATGTATATAAATAAAATAAATAATATATAATTTATATCTATATGCTTATACATATGAATGTGAAATATGGATATTAAAAATGCTCAATTAGAAACGAAATTATTTACAGATCATTTAGTATTATTTAGTATGAGCAAGCACAATCTTCTACACGTTTAACAAATGAATCTAAGAATTTAACCAGCCAATTACACTAAATATATTTGCCTTTGTTATTTCAAAACACTTTTAAAAATAAAATTCTTTGTATTAAAAAACAAACAAAATAATTGTGCTAATTGGTACAATTCCAGGTTAATATTTGCTAATGAAAATTTTATTTAAAAATAATAAAAAGTAAATATTGATTTAATTAGAGTTTACATGTAGTCGATTTTCTGTACATTATAGCAAATACATACATTTACGAAAATAATTATAATTATATTCATATTTCAACATTTTTTCATATAATAAAAATTATAAAGCAATTGTTTTTTTTTTTTTTAAATAAAAAAATGGATATTTTATAATTGTCATATCAGAATGCACTGAAGTTTTAATCACGAATTTTTTGGAACTGAAATGGAAATTGAATACGATGCAATTAATGATTTACAAATGAAAAAAAATTTCATTAAATTAATAGGTACAGACGACTAGATATATAATAAATATATATATTTGTGTGGTCACTCATATTTTTTTACAAGTTTACTTAAATCTTAAATTAAATATTACAATCAAATATCTAACATATATATATATATATATATATATATATATATATATATATTCATTAAGTTTTAATAAAAAACAATATGAAAATACATTTTATAAACAAAAAAGGAAGCGCTGATAAGTAAAATGTCAGTCTTTTAAAGCAAACGTCAATGTTTTATTGTGCACAGTACAAAAAAAACATCTGTAGCATATGCTCTTTAGTACAGCCTTTGAGGCAGTCCCATCGACGATTTAATGTGTAACGAACGAACATTTTGCCAATGTTTTTTCAACAAAGATACAAGAAAGTTTATCGACAGATGTACATTCTGAACTAATTCATCTGGAGTCATTTCCACATGACCTACAGCTACAGAAAGACACAAAACCTGTAATAATAAAAAAAAGAAAAAAATGTTAACAGATCTATCTGTCTAATTTTGATAATAATTTAAAATTTTAAACTTTAAAATGCTAAAATATGTACCTTCTTCATTTGGAATTTAATAGTTGCCTTAACTTCGTCAATTTTTCCCACCATGGATTCCTGATGAGAAAGTAGACCAGGAAATTTACCAGCTTTGTTTAAGCCAGGACCCAAGAGTCTAGGGATTTGTTTAATTAAAGACTCGCTAGCCAAAAAAGCATCGTATTTCTTAGCTGTAAAATAAAATATAAATTAGGAAGACAACTCGAAATTAAAAATTGTATCAGATTACTTAATAATGTCACTTATTATTATTATTTTTGTCTCAACACGGATTGAGGTTCAATGTGATTATCGCATTGTCCACACCTAGTGAAGAATTTAATTTCCTTCCATTGACAACCTTCGTAACAATTTAAATATAAAACGCAGGTGCTTTTAGGAAGGATCGATAGTAAATCACAAATTATTAGCAACTAAAAAATATTAAAACAACGTGAAAGACCAACCTAATTTTTTCACTAGTTTTTTGTTCTTGTTCAATTTTTTTAAAGCTTCAGCATCCATGTAGGGAATGTTATTAGCCTTAGCTTCATCACAATGCTGCTGATCACCAAGAACGCAAACTTGCATTTTTGGACGAGGAATATTCTTTAGCCTAAAAAAGTAACACAGCTACATTCAATTCAGATTTAATAAAATGTTTTTTATTACATTAACAAGAGCAGTAATAATCAGTTATAGATTCTTTCAACATTGATAAATCTGTTAATACATGCATTATACACCATCATTAAACCAACTTATGAAGTAATTTGTAATATTTATACTATCTAGTGGTAGTAAATTACTTTAACAATAATATATCCCAATAAAGTCGGTGAAATCTTTCTTATCCATATTACACTTCTCACGGAAGCAAAGTTATATTAAATTAAAAAAAGATTACCATTGAAAGTATCGTCGTTTGTGTCATTATAATTTTAATATTTTATAGTAATAATTAACATGCTTTATACGGTAAGGCACATACAATCGAAAGGAATGCAATTGTAAATTGTAAAATATAAGAATTGAATTATATCTATATGAAATCTCAACAATGTCTTGAAAACTCTTTTCTGACCAATGCTATCAATGTCCGCCTACAACTTACCCGAAGAATCACATTCCGCTGTGACTCTGAAATTTTAAAGTTCGGTAACATTACCTCCCCAATTTATTTAAGACCCTGGGTGCAGGTCCGCTAAGACTAGCTTAGCTCCCTGATATACAGAGTAATCTTTTTTGTTTTTTTCTCTTCAAGTTGGATTTTATAATATAAATTTTATGTGAAAAAAAAAAAAGCAGTTACTAAAAAGAACACTCTGATACAGGTAGGAACATACTTGACGGTGCCCGAAAAACGTTTATCTTTCTGAGGATCATAATTTTTTAAACCAATTTGCAGCTCCACGGTTTCCAAAAATTTCCTCTTCTTTTCTTGTGCACCTGTTATGGCGGCATTGACGCACTCGTATAACGTATCACGCGAAACCTTCGACCTGTAACATGTGCACGTAAAATAATCATTATATAAAAAAAAAAAAAAATCTTAAAAATAACTTCTATCGAATGTAATAATTAAACTACGATATTAAGTTAAAGATGAATGGATAATTTACAAGACCACGCTTAAGCTTCTAATAAGCACATGGCTCATTTGAATTGTGAAACTTTTAAAAGAAATGAAATACAAACAAAAATCATATATATATATATATATATATATATATATATATATAGAGAGAGAGAGAGAGAGATAAGAATTAAATAATTGTAAATTTTACGTAAAGAAGAACTAAATATAAAATACACACAAAACCTAACGCGATGTGCACACTCGTGCAAGACCATTACATATAAAATCTCGCCTCAATCATCCAGATGAAAAATAATGGCATAATTATATGCGTTGAATTGAAAATGACTAAAATTTATTATAACAATAACATTGTGGGTCAAGATTACATAGCAATAAATGGATATAAATTTATTTTTTACTCACGCCATCGCAGCGAACAATCAGCAGCCCCCGAACTCCTAAGCAGGAAAGAAACTCCAAGCAACAGAACCAAAAGTCTCTTACACGCTATGCTATACTCCCCACTCCTCTCTCGCACGACAATCTCTTCAATTCATTCGTAACGCATGCGTATTGGGTATTTAAAGCCGATTGGTCACCCCTGTGTGCACATCTGTTAATGCAAATGTAACGCCAATGTAATGATCGCATGCTCTTGTAACAGTATAATGTGCCTATGACACTTGTCCGTGCTTCTACTACTGTGTCTTCCTACATAAAGGATAATAGCAATATTACAAAATTTATAGTACCGGGTCTCCGGGTGGGTAGCATTGCAAAATTCTGCTGCAAATCACAAACCAATGCAATCACACTCCACCAAACGAATATAGCAACGTAGACGACGTACTACTCACGGCAACCAATTAGCTTGCAAGCTCCGTATAATGTATAAGGTTGCGATTTACTCGCGGCACGATCGAAAATATCGATGATGAAAATAAATTACGGGCAAGGATTAAAGACAAAAAAATACGGGCACTTGTTATGGATTAGCATGTGGGGGCGTCTGACTATGCGCCTGTGTTTGCTAGATATTCGCTGCAATTGATGAAAGAATTTGTAGTTTGGAATACGTTAGGGGTACGTTGCTGCTATCGTAGGGGATGATTGGATTAAGAAACGTTTGTAAAAATTCGTAAGCCAAAAGATGGTAAATGATACATTTACCGATTATATGATTTATTTTAATCGTAGAATGAGGATTGCATCGGCATTGTTAAAGCAAACTCCACGATCTCTTAATCGAGCATTCTAAATATTTCATTTAGGTAAGATAAGTAAATGGTTTATTGTTTAGAATGGAGTATCGAACATTTAACGGAGAAAGAAGCTTTTGCAGCTTCGAATCAATAACTTAATAAGTTAGGCATCGACTGTCGTTCAACAGTTCGATCGATAGTTCTCGTTTATGTCTCTCCCTCCTTCATCCCCCTCATTATGTTGGATTACAAACGAGTATGCGATCTACGAAAATCGAAGGAAAGCACAATTGATACTTGTTCTTTTTTGCTTAATAAAATTTGTAATAGTTTACAATGTGATTGCAAGCTGGTAGTAGGATTGCGACAAAGGTTATTGTACCCTTCTTATCGGTTATGCCGATACAAGAAACGAACATGCTCTCTCGATCGTCCTTTTTTTTAGAAAAAACAAGAAAAAAAAAAACAAAAAAAAAACGACTGACTTACCACGACACACAATCGGATGCCGACTGACTGCACATTCATCTACAAAATGCAATTGCATTTTTTCTTTTTCGGATCTTTTTCGTTTCGGCCACTGTAAGACCATGAATATCCAGCAGTTTGTTGTATGAATATGAAATTGATCGAAACAAAGAGAATGTTACTTTATGCCGTTAATTGAAGCCTAATGATCTTTCCGAAAGGGTCGGATCCGAATCTACCGTTGTTAAAGTGTACGTTCGTCAATGTGTTTCATAGACATTGGCTTTGCTTTGAAAATAAATAAATATAATTTTAACATCCGAGCATGTCGTTTATTCTCGTGCATCTTAATTGCCACAATCGAATAAACGATAAGGGACTTAATGTCCAAGCACTACGTTACGTTCCATCGGCAATATTATCCGGCACATTTTCCTATTGACCATCCGCATCATCTAGCAAACGATAATTCGTAACATAGGCTAAAGCGATAAACTAAGCTACATACGCCCACAAAATAAATGCAGACTTCATAGAAATAAGCTAGCTTAATGTGCGTCACCGGCATCGCATGCCACTACGCAGGTAGCAAGTACAAATGGTGCGGGCAGCTTCTCGGATTATGCGCGTATAGAACTTGATGGGGATTGGTGGCCGTATGGTTGGCCATTTGAAAGTTCTCCATCTCTTCCGAAGAAATTCGAAGAAAGAAGGGACGAAATAATTTCAAGTTGTCACTGCGCAGAATCGAAAAAATCGCACCGCTTGTGCCGAACTGTAAACTAAGCATTGACGAAAGGTGTGAGAATAATATAACAGTCGCGCGCGTCGCTCAAGTCTTAAATAATAATTATTATTTGAAAGCTCAGTTAAGTCGATTGAATTGTGAACGATAGTACGGATTTCGTTTGTTAATTCGGCCTTTGAATAGTCAAGATGTCGATTGGCGTGCCAATAAAGGTGTTGCATGAAGCAGAGGGTCACATCATAACCTGTGAAACAAACACTGGCGAGGTATATCGTGGTAAACTTATCGAGGCGGAAGATAATATGAACTGTCAAATGCAAAATATCACAGTTACGTATAGAGATGGACGTGTAGCACAATTGGAAAATGTCTATATTCGTGGATCGAAAATTGGCTTTCTTATATTGCCAGATATGTTGAAAAATGCTCCAATGTTCAAAAGACCTGGTGGGAAAGGTTCTGGGACAGCGGGCAGAGGAAAATCTGCCATCTTGCGTGCTCAAGGTATTGTGCAAAGCCAATTGATTATTATAGGGAAAGTCGTCAATGTTTTAATTTTAAATTTAACAATTTACAGCGAGAGGTAGAGGTAGAGGACAAAATCAAAGAGGTAGAGGCACGGGTTCCGCTCCTTGGCTCAATCAACAGAATCAGACAAGTGGACCTCAAACTGGTCGTGGAAGAGGCTAATCCTAACGTGAATATTATTTTACCTAATAACAGCCAAACAAGTGAAAGAACTCTAATCATGCGTTAATCATATTTTTCTAATAATAAGAAATAAACCTTATGTGTCGCTTAATGCTTCATTAATTTAGGTAAATAATAATTTGATAAATAAATATTTAAAGCTAAACTAAGATATTTTATCTCATTTTTTCCTTTTTTGAGCAGATACATAGTAGTTAAAGTGATTTATTATTATTTAAAAAATCTTAGTTTAATTAAGGTAGTTCTTATATTCAAAGTGTAAGCAATTTTGTAAAGAACTTTTGAATAAAATGTAATAATTTTGTAATGTATTTTGATGAAAATAGAATTGTGTACGAATTTATAAACAAAGATTTATCTATTTATAAAACAAACATTGTAATTTTATATTTTACATTACTTTTTTTTTTGACTAACTAAATAATTATTTTTATAAATGAAGTATTTAAACTTTTTATAAAAATAATAGTTCCATAGTTTTATAATTTAAGAAGATTTAATTGATTTTTGTTTTTGTTTAATTCTTATTGTCTAAAAGTTTTATTTTAACTTTCGATTATATGATTGTACAAATTGAGTTGTAGAATGGCAACGTTAAAAATATATTAAAACATTAATGGATTCTAATCACCATAAAATCACCAGCAGTACCGTAAAAATTTCAATAAATAATATGAATTATGTATTTGGTTAGTGGTACGTACTTTGATTAACGGTAAGTATTTTCTACATTATTTTTTTGTTTTTTTTTTTCTGACTACAAAGTCTTGTAAACTGTATCATTGAAACATTTACCTTCATATCTAAATTCTAAGAAGAATATTTCACTCGATTAAAATAATATAATCATACTAATTATTGATTATTATATTATATTGAATATTAAAAAATTGTATAAAATTTTCATTTATTTGATTGAGATTATTCACGTAGCTTGTATAAGCGTGCAAAATTGAAAAATAAATGAATTGAAGATTGGTAACAACAAATTGATTTGGCATTAGAATTTAAAGTATATTTATGATCAACAAAAATTATTCGAAAATTTCACATTGTTTCGTTATCGCCATAGTATTTTTAAGATTTTCGATGAAATGCGAGATTTACATGTCGCTAAATGCAAATTTTAATTTATAAAATGACTATTAAATATCGCCAGAATGCCAATAAACGTAAAATTGCCAACGGCATAAAGCACGAGGCTATCCAAAATTGAGACGCACACATTCAAAATGGCAGTCCCGAAACTTTTCAAGACCGATAGTTGGTAATTTATGTGAAAGTACATTTTACCGATGTTTTTGTAAATCATCCGTAAAAGTAACGATTAACAATAATAAATAAAATAATAAAACGTAAAAACTATACGATAATTAGAATTCTATTGATCCTCAATACTCTTTCCATCAAACACTCAAATTTTTAAAATATCATTATTGTTCATTACGAAGCCTTCACTTTATTTTGTTTTTCATCTTTCTTCTCTGATCTTATAAGTTTCATGTAATGTACGAGTCCATTGTATCGGCATATCATATCTTTGTTTTTTTACAGTTTTGCTAAATAATATTTGTATTGAAGAAGTATCGCGCATTTTTTTGTATATTTAAAATTGATGAAAATTGATTATTCAGAAATTTCAATCCATATTGATAATTAATTTTTTTTTAGTTACAAACAAGCAAAGAAGATAATGAAAGGTCTGTAATAGTTATAACGACAATTTAAAAGGAAATGAACTACAGATTTGAAAAAGTTAGATAGTTCATTGCCTAGATTTTAACGAAGGACTGTTGTTATCTGTTATCATTAGTATGTGTAATGTGTACCGTGTGGTCTCGTCGCTCAATAACCTTGCGATATCACGAAAATAATTCAAACAGACAGGGTTCATAGTTGGTACGGAATTTCGCTGTGAATGTGTGTGGCGCGAATAGCAGGGGATAAAGGAAGTACGGAGAGCTTTGCCTCTTGCATTTGAATCTGTGTAAACTCGTCATTTGCACTTTGTAGGGATATGGAGAAGGACTATTCTCCCTCAAAAGAAACTGTTTTTGATAAACACGTTTGCCACATTCGTATGTTCAAGATTCTCAATAATACACAATTACTTCATGAAGCTTATAATTTATGAAAATATCTTCAAAAAAAAAAAATTTAGACAGCACAAGAAAATCTGTTTTATCGATGAAATCAATAAAATGAAGAAAACAACATTGCTGCAAAAAAGAAAAAGCTATATCTTGCTCATCCAATGTACAATTATTAACTGTTATCTATTCTTTAGTGTCGCGTCTCAAATATATAAATATATATGTTTATTTTTAATCTTAAGCTTTAAAAAATATTTCTATTCTGTAATTATAAATTCATGAATGGTAAATTAATAATAGGGCTATAGTTGTACATCTCTTATAAACAATGCGATGTAAAGAATTGAACAAACAAAATGAATAGTCGCATAATAATTTAAAATGTCAAAGCCAATTAATCAAAGGTGCATAGCCTGACTGGCTGGCCATTGTTGTAAAATAATACAAATAAGAGGCAGCGACCATCCAATGCGACAGCTTCCAAGTTCGATGCTCCCATTACTATCACCAGCATCCTTAAAATTTTCACCATTTATTCTCTCAATTCTTTCCCAGCCATCAGCCATGGAAAAAACTTATGTCATCGAGGGACTTTTGTATATTTTTGGTTAAGAAGCAGCAAAACAAACGCACCAAGGCATTATGAATTCCCAATAAAATTCATAACTAAGGAAAACTGCAAATAAGATAAGCGCGTGGCCCGAAAACATGGCCATACGTCTTCTAATTAATTACAATCGAAGCTTGCATTTAATTGATAAAATAATAAAAGCTCGTAATCATGTCATTTCGCTCGGCCATCATCGTATACCCACCTCATACACACACCATTCCTCATCCTCATCGCCCCTATTTATTAAACCTCTACATAAAGTACACATTTCCTTAATCAAACCACTATTTTATCGCTCCAAATCAAATCATTCGACCAACGCTTCTCCGCCATAAAGAACATAGTACATCCTCTTCCAGATGGGTATAGCCCTTTTCCCAAGTGCGACAGCATTCGATCGAAAGATGCTTTATCATCAACGTGCCCCGACCACCGACAACGTCGCCCAGCCAATCTACATCAGCATTACGAATCCATTTGCACATACAATTACAAGCGGATACGATGGGCTTGACTACAGCAGCCAAGGGAGCGTTCGATCCACTACCGCTCGGGACGACCCCTCCGCGCCATCCCCATGTCAAAATGGCCCATGGCCCAATGGCCGATAATCCCAAGGCTCTTTGTTAGCAGTCCGGGCAGGCCAACGACGTAGACCGATCGCACAAGGCTTTCCGCACTCCCTCTCGCTGGGCATTGCAGATCACCGCGCCTCCCCCTTTCGGCTCCTCCCCCCCCCCCCCCCCCCCCATGGCCAACCCATCAATCGGCTCCTAAAACGCCATTGGCCCTAGCCACACAAATGTATTCATTGTAGTCGAGGGCTCGACCTGACCGCCGCGTACTCTCTAAGCTTAGGTACCGGTCGCTGCTTTGCAACCTCGCCACGCGCGGCGCTGTCAATTTGAAAAGAATTAAAAGGTTCGTGGAGGCGGGGGCGTGGGAAGCGTTGCCGCGCCGAAGGAGGTAATTTTTAATTTTGGCCTCTTCGACGGCCCCCCGGACCTCTCATATTATCGTCCGGTCGCTTCACCTTTTCCTCCAGTCGCCGTAGCCGTCGAGCGAAGTTGGCTCTAAGCCGGATAAAGATACCACGCGATTATCGAACCGCCTCATCCTTCCAACACTAATTTTCTCGCTACTAAAGCGCCCCCTACGAATTTTTCACTCCAGGTCGTGAACGATCGCGCGCGCCTAGTGGTTCAATCGAGATTCTGCGCGCAACGGCGCCGCGAGCTATTGGCGACCTGGCGCCCCCGCAAAAGGGCCTCGACTGTACTCGCGGGGCTCTGTGTTGTCGTGCATGCATGGCCGGCGAAGGGGGAGGGGCGGGCGTCGTCGTCATGGTCGATCATGGCCAAGGGGACCGTCGTCACGTGGCTCGTGGGGCGCAACTCCCTCGCCGCGAATTAAAATTCCCGCGGCCAGCCACTTCGTCCTGCGAATCCAAGTTCCTCACCCACGCGCTTTCTCTCACTCACTCACTCACTCTCTCTCTCTCATTCTCTCTTGCTCGCTCGCTTTCTTTAGCAGTCGCCTACTACAGTCTAGGCTGTGTCGGTGGCAACCCCGGCTGCGCGTCGACGACGAGCATGGATGCGTAGGTGTAAGAGGTGTGCTGGCGTTGGTTCGCGAGTAGAGCAAGGGCGCATGCGCCGGGACCGTGAGCGAATCGGCACATTGGCTTGCACCGCGCAGCGATATCCCAATCCCCGTGCGCGGCTCTCTCCGTCTCTGTCGGGCGAACGGTGTCGAGGCCGCTCGCGAGCACGGGCAGAGGACCGATCGTCCGTCTTTATCTAGTTCGCGTTGGCATTTTGGCATTAAGTGATCACCGAGGGTGGATTTCGCGTCGGCGTCGGCTCGTAAGATCGCATCCTCGGGCAGTCTTGAGGACACCGACGGTGGCCTGGGCAAGCGAGGGATTCCGAGCGGACGAGGAGACCGAGGGAGACAGGGAGGCCTGGCCGTAGGTATTAGCGGTGCATTGAGGTATACGCGTAAGCTACTCTTGCCGCCAGAATAAAGAATAAAACGTGCGTGCGCTGTTGGGCAATACGTCCGTCTCTGTTTGGGCAAACGGGGGCCGATTAGAGGCGGGTGAGCGGGTGGAGGGGCGAATAGCTTATACGAGAGGGGCAGGAGGAGCGGTGGGTTTTTGGGCGTGGAGGGGGACGGCGGCGGCGGTGGCTGCGGCGGCGCGCGCGCGCATGCGAGAGAAGGAGCGATAGGTCTCGCGACTTACGGGTTCGCAAAAAAAAAATTCGCATTTTTGGTTATCGTACACTGTGGCCTGAGGCACCGAGGCTTCCCCCGTCTTCCCCAAGTTCAGCTCATGGATAGGCGGTACAGCGAGCTCGGTGAATATCCGGAGCGGAGCCTCGTCCCGAGTACTTGTTTTCTCATTTTTCATCCAATTTCGCACCGTCGATAATCATCGACGCCTTATCTATTATTAATATCCACGAAATTATTTGTTTTGATTTGAAATCTTTTGTTTTTGCATTGTTTACGATTCTCTGATACTTTTGGTTAACGTAATATTGGTGTCCGGTGATTATGACCCTTTGGCACTAAGTTTTAAATCCAGGATTATTTGGAATCAGCAACGTTGAATAATTTATTGAATTTTTATTTTCCAGACTTGCAGTGATCGAGAAGAATACACACTTCAAGCTCGTGCACAATTACCTACGCATAGAATGTCTCTTCCTGGGATAGCTGTAATACAAAGTTTGTATTAGTTTTTTGTCGATACCCATTCGCGCATGCTTACATGAATTTTGTTCAAATTACGCTTCCCTCCCTTCGTTCCATGAATGTCAGAATTTTTGAGAATTTCTTTTTCATTTTAGACATGTTCTTTGTTTTGTAAAAATGCGAATGCAATTTGTCAGCTCCATCATATTATATATGACGAGCTATTGCGTTAGAGATACTATTGTTTTACAAGACATCTCGGACATCTCAGACTGTATAAGGTAAAACTTTCAAATTGACAAAACTTAAAGTTTTTAATAAAATAACTTATGTTTAAATTTAGTTTAATCCATTTCAGTTTGAACTCCGTCAAAGACACACATTAAAGTTGATAGTTCAATCCGATCATTATGGCTGCGAAACAAGGGTAAAACATATTTTATTTTACATTGAACGTGCATATGCATATGTGCGTGCGTGTGGTTGCGCGTGTGTATATATAGTCACACTAATACACATACGCACATGCATATGTTTGAATGCATGTACTTATGCATACTCCATACCTATATATATATATATATATATATATATGCACGGATGCGGCCATGCATACATGCGCGGTATATATATATGCATATGTGCATGCACGCGTGTGCGTAAGAAAATGTATATATACCTATTCAAACGTACTCGCATTGCGACGTATATGCGCACATTCATGCGTGGATGGATCGGCATTGCGTGCGCGCGTGCGAATAAGGGCGCGCGTACATGAGCATGCATTTAAGAAGAAATATATGCTCAAACCCATGAAGTCATGAGCGTGTATGCGTCGAAAACATATATATTTTTTCTTTTCAAACCTTTTCTTACGTACATAGTTTATTACTCACATTTTGATATATATATATATATATATATATATATATATATATATATATATATATATATATATATATATATTATCAGAAAGAGATAAATAAAAAAACTTGCTTCGTCAAATTTTATAAAATTCTTTGCATAAATGTAAAAAAATAATCATTAACTATTATTAAAATATTTACCATATTATTTTATAATATTTTTATTACATGCTTCTCTGTATTTTATTATAAGTTTTCCATATAGCATTTAGTATTTGGCAAATATTTTTTTTTTTTATTCTTTTTCTTATCCCTAGTGCATTTTCATGCATATTATCTTCCGCTTTTTGAATATTTGTGTAGCTTATAAACAATCTTTGTTTTCTAATTCTTTTTTTAAATACTTAACTTATAAAATTAGTCGTCAGATTAAATGAAACCCAGCTACTATTAATTTTCTTTAATTCATCAAGAGATAAATGAATTGGATCGAGTTTTTTTGTGATTTTGTAAATACTTTATCAAGATAAAATTTAGAAAAATCATTTGAACTTGAACTTTCTTCTTCATCAAGAGCGGTGGGTTTATAAGACACATGTGAAGGTGTGAAAAGTTATTGAAACAAGAAAGTGTTGTGCTTTTGAAGAGCGAGTAGAAAATATGCATGATTGCAATAAAGACATTACTACAGAGTGCTACTTTTTAACGAGTAAAGTATCTTGGACATTGATACTTTGTTTCAGAAGGACTAAAGGAAAAAACTGGGATGAATGTAATCCTGACGATACTAGTGATGATAGCGATAATTTAATCTCGAGACTTAAAAAATTATCGCACTTGAGACGTAAAAAGAAAAAAAAAGATTTAAAATCAAAAATATTGTCAAATAAGTCTGACACCGAAGACAGTAGTAGTGATATGGATCGGAAAACAGTTAAAAGGAGAAGATTAGTATCGTCTCTGCCCCATTCCATAAGCAAATCTTCGAGAAAATGCGTTTTAGATTCTGATGATTCAATATCAGATTCACATAATGTCAATAGAAAGAAAGCCCGAATGTCAAAAGCTAAAGTTGATCACAAAACTGTAATTACAAATTTAAATGATAATGATTCGAAACAACCCGCTCCTAACGAAAAGAGCATAGTTATGGAAAAAGAAACGACAAATGCCAATCCTAGTACAGATAGCAAAAATTTAGACAGCAAAGCGAAAAGTAATCAACACCATTCTGATGCTAATTCCAGCATCGAACGCAAAAAATGTAAATTAAAAACAATAATGAAATCGAAATTACAATTTAACGAACATTTTATGGATGATTATTCCATCGTAGCTACTCCCACTCGTTCCGACGACGAAAGCGTATTGGTCGAAAAGAAACAAGAGATATTATTGAAGCATGACATAATCGAAGAATTGGAAAAAATAAAAAAAATGACAGAAGAATTGAAGAACGATTTAGAATATCACAGTAATTATCTTATCAATAAAAAAATTAATGTTGCTAGGGACTCGAAATTTATCGCGCATAAAATATTAAGAATTTATGATTTAACGTACGAGAAGCTTAAAAAAAATAGAAACAATTTTGTCGACATTTATAAGTCGTGGCTCGATAATTGCAGTGATAACACATCGAGTGAAAAGGATAAGGTAGTAAAGGGATGTAGGGCTAAGTCTAGTAGTGAGAGCGACAGGGATAGGAGTGTGCAACGGCAAAATTCCGACGATTCGAAAAGCGAAAATGGGTCTGCAAGATCTTGTAAAGAAAAAAATAAATTAAGTGAATCCGAGGAGACCGATGGGAATAAGAATGTGCATGAAAAAAATTACAATATCAACGAGAGTAATAATTCTTCGCCATCGGATTTTAGATTAAGCAATCAGTCAAATTGTCAGAACAACAATGAGGCGACGAATGTAAAAGATATTAATAAGTCAAATACATTAAGCAATGATTCGTCAAATTCATTAAGCAATGATTCGTCAAATTCATTAAATTCAAGCCCGCAACATAAAAAACAAATTAGTAAAAAGATAGATTTGCCTCAGCAGTTGAGCGAAAATGATCTCGTAGATCATTTATCAGACCATGTTGATGAAAAAATTGATGAATCGGCGATGGATGGAGGTAAGGATAAAGGTGTAAAAGACAGAGGGAGAAATTGCGATGCTGGTAAGTATAAAGGCTCAACGAAAGATTTGTCAGAGTCAACGAAACCATGTAGTGTTCTCTCCTCTTCCTTTTCCGATAACCAAGACTTATTCGATAGCAGTATCTCGGAGGTAGCCGATACCCCAGTTAAATCTAAACTTTTGTCCTCGAAATTATCGCTCAAGAAGATATTAACTTGTAGTCAAGATAAAGCTTCATGCGTTGATAATCCGATAGAGACTAGTAACTCCGAACACGAAGAGAATCCGTCATTATCTGAACAAGTTTATATCGACGATCTAGAATGTAGAGCATTAAAAAGTTTGCTTCAAGATAAAGATTCCGATGGGACGGATAGCGAAGAAAATGGACATGACGTGTCTTCGCATAATACCCCGTTCAATATTCGCAGTGCCACGATTAAAAAGCTTAGCGAAGATGATGAAGAATTGTCACTACCAAAAACAAATAATAACTTGCGAACAAAAAAAAAGCTACTAATGCAAACTAAAAAACAAAATTCAATTTCTTCCGATAGCTCATCGGACTCCGCGGGGGCATGCATCCGAAAGAAGAATTCGCGTCAGGAAAACGATGACGACTTGCCGCCGAGATATCGCCGACGGCAAGCCTTCAACGTGCAGAAAAACCGACACTACAAAGCCGACAAGAAACTCAAAATGGAATGTCGAGTTACGCTGGAACGATTGTCGCAAAATGTCCTTGATAATTACTCAAGCGCCTTGGAAAAATCCAAGAATTATGTTGCGAACAAAAAGTTTCACAGGTATCCAGACTAACTACGACATTAAATAAAAAAAAAAAAAATAATAAAAAAAATAATAATAAAAAATTCAAAAAAAAAACTGGTTTTTTTATATACAGATATATATATATATATATATATATATATGAATATTTTTTTTTTTTTTATATTAAACGCTTGGTGATGTTATATGTAAATTTAATTGTTAAAATTGTTAGTCAATCTGTTGATTTCCCTCACTAATTTGTTTGACGATTTTGTACTTTACTTTTCATAATTTTTCAACTAATACACAAAGTTAAATCGAATTTTTATTTACTGTGATACACATTATAGATTCACTACATAATACACATTATAAGTACGATGTATCTAGATAATATATTATTGTTAAACGATTCAATTGATTATAATCTTAAGATAAAAATATTAAAAAAGTAACTGCATAATTGTAAAACTAATTTATTATTCAATAACGTTAATAAATTAATTATATAAAAACCAGTAAATTAATTATTTTATTTTAAAGACATTTGAAAACCCTTTTCAGTATAACCAATTTAGATGGCCTTGAATCGAAGAAGAAATCTAAAAGAACTTCTACCTCCAACAATTCATTATTATCGGATGACAGCGTAATTAATGCTAAGGCAAAGCAGAAATATAATAGCGAGAAGAATCCAGTTGTGGATTTCATGGATGAAGACAATGAAACTGATTTTAATGTTGAAAATTCGGATAAATCAAATGACAACGACAAAATCATAGACGACGAGAACATCGAAGAAGAAATATGTAAGGATGTTGAAAATAAAGCAAGAGAGGCTCTACTTCAGAGTCATTCCGAATCGAGTAACGGTAAGGGTTTTATAATAAAGTTCATGTTTTTCGAAGAAATAGTAATAATAAAGCAAACAGAATTAGCGGTATCTATAGTTGTACCAAATACGTAATTCAATTAATATTAATTGCCAATTTAATTGAAAATTATATACGGTATTTTACATTGATCGTGCAATATTTATATCAAATTTTTCATAAACATTAGTTCTATAATAGGAATTTGACGAAATTAATTTTTGCCCGTGTATTTGAAATTTATAATCAATTATAAACATTATAATTTATTTTATGCTAAAAATATTTTCCCAGAGGATAGTATGATGGAGGCTACGGACATAGAACAAGAAAATAAAAATAATACAAAAGCTAATTCAAAAGCAAAATGTATAAGCAATGACGATTCTACAATTGAAGAATCGGATGAACATAAAGATAAGGATGAAACAAAAGCTGCGTGGAAAAATGATGAGTTATTATACTTTCAGTTAACGGATAGTGAATCAGGGGACGAGCAACGCGTTGAAACTGAAGTAAATAATAAGATAAAAAATATTAATAAAGAAAATGATAGAAGGTAAGTTTGGCTTACGAAATGTCTATCATGCTAATTAAAAGTGTTTGATAATCAATGCAAGTAATGTTACAGTAACGAAGAAGAAACTAAAAATAAAAAGGACGCTACCATAACCCCCGTTAAAAAAAAGAAGTCACGAAAATTAAGAGTTTTCGATTCTGATTCAGATACAAAAAATTATTCAAGCGATGTGGAATCAAATGATTCGGAAATTGAATGTGATGAAGAAAAAAACGAGGAGGACACAAAGAAAAAAAAAGATCGTAAACGTGAAAAATCATCGGAGTCAGATACATCATCTAGTGAAAAAAAGTGAGTTTTAAAGGATTTTAATTATTAATTATTTACTTAAAATTGTTTGTATATTTAATCAGACAAAAGTCAAAGAGAAAACGAATAAAGAAAGTGGCAACCGACAGCGAAAGTGATGACCAGGACTCACCTGGGAAAGGTAGAAAAAATATTCGTAAAGTTTTAAAAGATAAGCACGTTGCAGACGATACAAAAAAGGCTGCACAGGATGAAGAAGAACGCTTAAAACGTATTGCTGAACGACAAAGACTGGTAAGTAAAATAAATATAAAAGAGAGTTTATTTGAGCAAATATTTCGCACATTTATTTCATCATCTTAAAAGCTATTTCCCCAATTAAAAACAATTGATTTCATTATTAAACACCTATACATTTGAAATCGAGATATAAAGTAAACTATTAACTAGTCAACAATTATGCATTATAGATTTCTTTTCTATTTTTTTTCTTTTTTTTCTTTTTTTCTTCTTTTAGTAAAGATAAATTAAATATTAGTTAGTTCACTTTTTAGTAAATTTTATTTCCTTAATGTGTAATAAATAACTGTTTCAGTTTAATGAGATGTACGATGCAAGACTGGCGGGTGAAGCTAAAGTTGACAAGTTGGTATTAGATTTTGACGAAGAGACGAAGAAAGAACTCGTCATTGTAGACAAAGAACTCGTGAAGCGTTTGAAACCCCATCAAGCTAAAGGTATTAAATTCATGTGGGATGCTTGCTTTGAATCCTTAAAGCAAATAGAAAAATCAGATGGATCCGGATGCATTATAGCTCATTGTATGGGACTGGGTAAAACTTTTCAAGTTGTCACGTTGTCCCACACTTTGTTGAGCCACACAGAAACAAAAGTTAGAACTGTAATGGTTGTTTGTCCTTTAAGTACAGTATTAAATTGGGTTAATGAATTTAAAATATGGCTGAAGCATGTAAAAAATGGCGATGAAATAGAAATTTATGAATTGACTAAGTAAGCTTAATAATAATAATAATAATAATAATATCAAATTCAGACACTATCGGCATATGTTTTAATGTTAAATGTTTATATTAATTTTAGGATGAAGAAGAACATTGAAAGAAAGTATCAATTACAAAGTTGGCAAAAGACGGGGGGCGTTTTAATTATTGGCTACGAAATGTTTCGTAATTTAACTAGTACTGGAAAGAAAATGAGAAAGGCTATGCAAGAGTCTATTATGAAATCACTGGTCGATCCTGGAGCCGATCTTGTAGTTTGTGACGAGGGTCACTTGCTAAAAAATGAAGACTCGGCTCTTAGTAAGGCAATGAAACTCGTAAAAACATTGCGAAGAATTGTTTTGACGGGAACACCTCTTCAAAATAATCTGAAAGAATGTAAGATGATCGATTGCGTATTAAGATAATTTAATAGAAATGACAATACCTGGTGGTGGCCGTTTTTAAAATTTTAAAATAATGTTCTCACGAAATAAAGAAGTCACGCCTACCATTCATTCACTTTTACATTATTTTTTCCATAGCTCGTTAAGGAAAACGTTTGTAATATTTTTATAAATTTTACAGATCATTGCATGGTCCAATTCGTCAAGCCTAATTTACTTGGTTCGAAAAAGGAGTTTTTGAACAGATTTGTCAATCCTATTACAAATGGTCAGTTTGATGATTCGACGCCCTATGATGTTAAATTAATGAAGAAAAGAGCACATGTATTGCATAAAATGCTGGAGGGAAGTGTTCAGCGATTTGATTATTCTGTTCTTACACCGTTTTTGCCGCCGAAACAAGAATACGTCATTTTTGTACGTTTAACCGGAGTGCAAATCAAGATGTATCAACATTATTTAGATAATTTTGCAAGGTATATAATACATGTTTTATTTTTTATTATCTGATATTTTTAGTGCCTCGGATTTCATTAGAATTATATTAAAATTAGCACATTTCAACATGTTTTCACATGTTTTCAATAAATATTCGATAAATATTCAATAAATATTCAATAAAATTAACGAGGGTTCGATTTCGATTTTGTATTATTAATGAATGTGACATTGAATATTATTAAAACGTCTTAAGTGGTATTTTTATGAATCTACGAGTCCTTAACGATATTGACAAAACCTAAACGACCTGAAGAAGAATGCGATATGTTTTCTAAAATTATGTTAATTAAAAAAATTTACTATAAATTAATGAATACTAAATTTTCTGTTTTAGTAAATTAAAACTAAATTGTGTTTTCGTTTTCATACAGACGTTATGGCCAACGTAATGGATCGTTATTTGCCGATTTTCAAGAGCTACAGCGCATTTGGACTCATCCTTACGTATTGCGTTTGAATGCTGAAAAGGTTGAGAGAGCTAATGAAAAGAAGCGTTTCGAAGCCAGTGATTCCGAAGGTTCCTTAAAAGATTTTATAGACGATGAAAGTGAGTCGGATAGTAGTCCCAGTCTCAGTTCTGGTAGTGGAAGTAACAGTGATATTCAAAGTATCCATTCTGACACCGAAAAGCCTATTAAACTAACTCGCAGTGCCAGAATGAATATAAAAGGTTAGCACATATTTTCTTCATATACTATGTACTCCAAATTGATGAGAAAAGTGATTGAAAAATAGATCATCGATTGAAATTATTAGTATTATTAGTAAATAAAAAAACATATGCACTGTATTTAGAAAATTTTGCATAAAATATTAACTTTTACACTGTATAATAAAAAAAAAAAAAATTTTTTTTATATCATTGTTTGCATAACTGATTGTAATAATGCTTTATAAGATATATGTCTGATTTATTAATTATCATTTAGTTTCAAAATATACATGCGTTTATGTGTACACATTACAATTGCAATTAACAACTTTGTTTAATTAATAAAATTAATTTATGTTAACTAATTAGCGGAAGAATTAGACGAAGTAGTTCCTATTCAAGAAACTGCTGAAGAATCAGCATGGTGGTCGAAATTCGTTGAAAAAGAGCATTTTGAAGATTTGCGCATTTCTACTAAACTTGTTCTTCTATTTGGTATTTTGAAGGAAAGTGAACAGATCGGTGATAAAGTGTACGTTGATACAGCCCTTATCTTTATTAGATTTATTTAAGTCTTTCGATAATTATTTTTAATTGAATTTTGCCTATAAATTAATTTACTTTAACATCAATGCCATATTTAAAAAGATTACGACTGTTAATTAAATTAAAGCCATTAATCGCTTTACAATGTATAATTTAATTTTAATTGATATAAATAGTAGGGATAAATTTTCTTTATAATATTAATCACCTAAGATGTATATATCTTCTTTCGTAGGCTTGTATTCTCTCAATCGCTGTATTCCTTGACGCTCATAGAACAATTTTTAAACTTAATTGATCAAGAAACTCAAAATGGCGTCCAAGCCGAATATTTAGATAAGCATTCGGGTAATTGGGCTCTGGGCTTAGATTACTTTAGATTAGATGGTTCAACATCTGCTGAAAATCGTAGTGCTTGGTGTAAGATTTTCAACAATCCTAGTAACACACGAGCCAGACTTTTTTTAATATCTACCAGAGCTGGTGGATTAGGTATAAATTTAACTGCTGCCAACAGAGTCATAATTTTCGATGCGAGTTGGAACCCATCACACGATGTACAAAGTATATTTAGAATATACAGGTAAAAGCGACAAAACCCTCCTTCTCTTTTCTCGTAAAATTCAAAAATTACTTCCCATCCTTTACAATTGTCCCTGACGTATGACTTGTCTGTGACAGATTTGGCCAGAAGAAACCATGCTACGTTTATCGTTTTCTGGCTGCTGGAACGATGGAGGAAAAAATTTATAATCGTCAAGTAACGAAATTGTCGCTGGCCTGTCGGGTTGTTGATGAACAACAGATCGAACGCCATTATAGTAATAATGATTTGGCAGAACTTTATCAATTTGAATCCTATGAAGGCAAATCTGCAACATTGAGCTTGCCGAAAGATCGATTATTGGCCGAGATATTCTTAAACTACAAAGAGGCCGTCTACAATTATCACGAGCATGACTCTTTACTCGAGAATAAGGTAACGCATCGATCTCCATACTAATGCTTCATGATACATATTACCGTTTTTCACGAATGGTTTTAAATCGTAGCAAGAAGAAGAGTTGGACGAAGAGGAACGGAAGCAGGCTTGGCTCGAATACGAAGAAGAGAAACAAGGAAAGCGTCAAATGATCAATATGGGTAATAATCTTGGATTCAATCAAATGATGATGAATATGAATTCATTCCCCGAATTAGAGAACATTAAGCTGTTGATTCAAAAAGATGTATGTTTCATACAAATTACATATTCTTATAAATTTCATATCATTTTGTAATCACGAGTGATTTATATATTATTTATGCATCTAGTATCCGAATTTACCACCTGAGCATCTTGAGACTGTGGCACGACAAGCTGTGTATGACATGTATCGTTACGTCGATCAACAAGCCGTTAATCAAACTTTAAATCCTTATGGAGCTATGCAAGGAATGCCAGCCTCAAATTTATTCGGTGCTTCTACAATGGTACTGCTTTAATAAAACAAATTCAACGTCTATAATTTATTATTATTATTATTATTATTATTATTATTATTATTATTATTATTATTATTATTATGGTATTGTGATTGTTTCATTAGCCTCAAGTGAACCAACAGCAACAGTACAATCCGCAAAGTCAATTAATGAATATGCTGAACCAGCCACAAATGAATTATCCGGGTGTTAACCATATGCCAGTTTATTCTGGTAGAGGAAGACCGCCCAAACATATGACAATGAATAACCCAATGCCAAATATGAGATCGATGCAACCGCCAATGCAATCACCGATGCAAGCACCGATGCAAGCACCGATGCAATCACAGATGCAACCACCCATGCAACCACCGATGCACTTACAACAATCTCAGCAGCCTCAGAGGCAAACAGCGACTAATAACGATGAAGTAGAGGTACTTAATTTAACTTTATGAATTTCCGTTTTATCAAATTTTTATTGAATTTTCATATTATTGCAGATACTTACTAATCAGCAAGTAACACCACCTAATATCGAATCTGTTTCTAATGCTAAGAATATACAAAAAGAATGAATGTAAAGGGAAAATATTAGCATTAATTTTTTTATTCCTATTAAAATAAATAATTTCATTATTGTAAATAGTAATTAAATTATGTAAGTAGAGGTAGAATAAATTGTGTTTTGCTAAATTTATAAATTGTCGAGTTAGTAATAAACAGGATGTAAATTAGATGTAGATGGTTTCCAATCGAAAGATGTCTTGTACTGACTATGTTCTAAAAGAATTAAAAGAAAGGAAAAAATTGGATTTTCAGAAAATTTGAAATATTATTTAATATTAAAGGGAAAGTTTTTAAGAAATTTTATTGCAGTCAGTATTACATTTGATGTATATAGACAGTGATATTTCGAACTCATAATAGTAATTGTTTTTAAATCTTTATTTTAATGTAATAAGATTGGATTCTGGTCGTAACATCTATATAATGAAGGAACATCCTGGTTAATCATAAAATTATATGTATTTTTAGCTTGAATAATTAGATGTTTTTCATTTTTTAAACAATTGCATACGTACGTCTAATCATGTATATATGCATATGTTTATACATACATGCATGCACACACAATATATATATATATATATATATATATATATATATATATATATATATATATATATATATACATATATATACACATATATATATATATGTTGTATGTATGTACGTATGTGTGTATGTGCGCGCGTGTGCATATAAATACATGGCCCTCCTACTTTTAAATTGTACTATGTATAATTCAAATATAAATTATCAGTTAAAGGTTAAACTTCAAAAAAAAACCTTATATTTAAAAGTCTGTAAAAGGAATGAAGCAACAATTTAATAAACATCATTTCTTTACTCCTATGTTTTTTTTTTTAAGAATATCTTTAATTTATTACTCTGCCTTTCTGTTGGAATACTCACTCAACTTCTATATCCATTAGAATGTTGACACGAATGATTTTTACTGAATTTATTTATAAATTTACATAACCAAAACAATATTAGAGTAAAAAATTAATCTAAACAGATTTTGCGCATATTTAAGAAATAGTAAAAATCTGAAAATAGCAGCATATTTATGAAATAAACCTAATAGAAACAACGTACACATAAATGGGACGAAACTATACATTGAAAAATTAGAGTATATTTTTTTTAAATCAAAATAACACGATAATATATTATTATAAGTTATTCTTGGAAGAAAATGAAAACTGTTCAACAATTTTTTTATTACATGTATTGTAAACATTATGAGTTTAAAAGAAATTTTATAATAAAATAATTCATAATTATAAAATTAAAAAACAGAAGTCGACAGACACAATGATAAAGAATTTTTTTTTTTAAATTTCATTTAAATATATTTTTCTGTTCAATGTCAATAAACTTTATTATTATTTTTTTTACAATATGCAATTACTAGTCATGTGCAAATATAAAATATTAATATGTATACTTTGTACGAATCATAAATGGTAAGAATTATGTGTATTATGAATGATAATTTATATAAAATAAATTTTGTGTATCCTTACGTAAATTGTTATTATTGAGAAAATATAAATTTTGTATTCAATTGTAGTAAACGAAAGCCATTAAAACAATTGTCTGCAGTATATTCGGAATGTATCGATTGAGCCAAATTGCTTGATATCCTAAATGAACACTACGTAAAATAAGAATTATTAACAGTATTGATTAAATTGTTATTAAATTTTACGATAAACAACATTAACATAGATTTATGTTTTAAATTAAATAAAATAAATGATGGTTTATGGTTAGTAAGTTGTTTCGATATAAATATAGATTCATGAAGTTGAAAAATTTATCCTAAAAATGAAACAGATGAAAGGAAAATTTAATTTTGAAAACATATCTTATACATATGTAATACCGTACGTACAACTTCAAAATATTAACTTGCAAAGTGTAGAAATAGATAATATGTAATTCAATTGATTTTATGGACAAAATCAATTCTTAAATTATATCATTAATAGACATTGTAAAAGAGATGAAAAATAATTATACATACAATATACTGATAAATTTTAATAAATCGTGAAATATGTTTGAAAATAATATGCCGCTTAAATTCATCAATCATCTACCTAATTTTATAGTAATTAATGAACGTTTTATTTGAAAATATATAATTCTATGTTCTTTTTTTCATTACTTTTTTCCAAGCCAAAGAGGAATTTTAAATAACAATTTTCTATTTTATTTCTTAAGAATGGAAGAAATGGAAGAAATAAGTCTGATTCAACGATTCAATACTAAATACTAAACTTTGTCAATTAATTTATTGTTATTGACGTATAAACAGTCTTTCATAATGGGATACAAAAATCATACTACATTTCCATACGATAAGAAAATATCAATGAAAACATAACAAAAGAGCAGTCCAAATTATTATAATCGAATGTCTAATCATAATACAATCGAACAATTATAGTTAACAATATTTAATATATTTAAAAATTAGCTCGTAGCTTACAATTATAATCTACAATTAATAAATAACATACTATTACAAATATCGATGGTGCGTAACTTAAATCACTCATTGTTCAATTGAAAAATCAACAAGTTTTTTAAATCACTTTTAACTCGATGAGAAGCATCCAAATTAGCAATATTGAAATTCTCATCGGCATCAACGGAATGATCGTACAGTTCTTCCGCCAGTATTTCTTGCCAGTCAGGTCGTTTGGATATCGCTGAAAAACCTACCCACGCAGTGTATCTATACCGAATAGTACGCAAAGTATAACCCATTATGGTAATGTCTCGAAGACGAGGCTCGTCATCACTCGCCGTGCACGTCGGATGTGTCGTCGACCTTGGATATTGGCTAAGGGCCGCGTTTTTCCACGATGAGGACTGTAAGAGTGACTACACTATGATAAAAGCAGCGGTATACATGCATGAGTATGTATAGATTTGTATTTGTCGAGTCATAGAGCGAAAGGGCTCACGTAGGGAAATAAATTGTCCTCGTGTTTGTAATGCCTAATTGGAAAAGAACGGGAAAATATGTTTGAAATGTTGACGGCACACGAAATACAGTAAGTAGACACTTGGCTCCTACTATCAGAAATTCTGCTTTGCTTATTAAAAGCGTTGACTCGAGCAGTAATTTAATTACATAATTGAACGAACAGTCCGACGAAACGTTAAAAAAAAAAAAAGTACTTTATACGTTTATATGGAATTAAATGAACTTGTTAGGAATTTTGACAATCCATCTTCTAACTCGATTATAAATTAAATGCAAAATAACTTCATTAGTCAGGTTCAATTTACATTAAAAAAAAAAAAAAAAAAAAAAAAAAAAATATCTGCAAATTTTTAATAATAATGATTAATTATTCGTTAAAAAGAATTTCGTGGAAAATAAACGGAAAAGCAATGAATATAATGGACCTGCTTTGATAAAAGTGTATGTACCTGGCACCGCAACAATCCTTCGATCAAAGGGATTAAAGATGAGCCTTCGGTACAAAGATTCGGTATAGAATCGGATTTCTTTCGAGGACAGCTACGTACTGGGAAACCCGCAAGCTCGGCTATGGTTGGGAAAACATCCAGAAGCTCAACCGGATTAGCAATCATTTTACAATCATCGCAGCACTCGTCGACCGATGCTTTTGTCCGGCAATTCTGACTACGAATGGCTTTGCTCACCAAACATAAGTTCCGGGTGTCGTATGATTTGAATGTCAGATTTGGAATGGAAATTATTAACGGAACCCGCAACGCTACTTCAAAGTTGCTGTACTTGGCCCATTCGGCATGCTCACCGAGGGACCATCCTAAGCAAATATAAACAATAATTACCATTCGTACAATCGATCTTTAAGGTAAATCTTACGAAGGAATATTCCCATTTGAAGGGGGACGAAAAAAAAAGAAAAAGAAAAAAAGAAATGAAAATTAATTTGCCTTTAATTAAGGAATTCACTGAACTAAACGCGAACTTAATTTATTCTTATAAGGAATTTGAATGCATCGTTACTTCCTTAGATTAATTAACATTTACCATGATCGGATGTCAAAATTATCACTGTATTTTTGCGAATTTTCAACATTTCCAATTCGTTCATCAGTTGTCCGATCAGATCGTCGATGTACGTCACCGCCGAATAATACGCTCGGATTATCTTTCTCGCATACTTCTCTGAAAATATAATTAAATACATCATTATCATAAGGATTGCCTTATAATAATTAAAGTTTAATTCGCTAATACGAGTATACATATTCGAATTACATACTAGAATATAAATAAAGTATTATTTATATTATATATTTATAAAATGGATAAATACTTGGTATCTTTTGCCAAGGGCATCGCAATTTTAACTTTTTTACATCGTTTCGCCGACGAAGATCCATCCAAGAATTATACGCCACATGACTTACATTGATAGGCCATTCATACTTATCTGGTAAAACAAATTTTCTTAACGAATGGAATCCTGTAAAAATACAATAATAACATAAATTAGGTACCATACTTGAAATTATGTACATTACAAAATTATTTAATTCGTAAAAATTTATCAACATTCATTATTAAATTTTCACTTTTAAAACGACTTCATCGATATTTTTGTCAATTTATTTTCATTGTTAAATTACTATAGGTAAAACATTTTTTAATAAAAAAGGTAATTGTAATTTATATTTACTTGCTGACAAAATTAAAAACACAATTAATCAATAAAGCTTTAAAATATTTTTATTTAAATTCTCTCCACTTATCGTGAATTTCAATGGAAAAAACTCATTTCAACTTATCATCTTAAAATTTCCATTAATAAATATATCTTTTATCTTTTAATAAATTGATAGATATGTCATTGTTTCATCCATGACAATCTTTTTTTTTTCATTCTTTTTTTTTTAAATCAGATTAGCTTTTGCTTTTGAACTTGATTTACATGATTTTTTATTAATAAAAAATGTATCTTTATCGAAGTGAGAAAAATGTGTAATTACGCATATATCGTTTTGGGTATTTCAAAGGAATGTGAGGCTTTTGAAAACCAACAGCTAAGAAAAACGGTTCCTCTCTGTTACTATTCAAGAATTGTTTGGCTGCATTTAATATTTCGATGTCTGGAAGTGTCCGAGTAGGCATCGATGATACACGAACTGGACATATCTGTATATTAAATGTTATAATTATCATTTTTTACACTTTATAAAAATTTAATTGCTTCTATAAAGGAAACATTGATAGTTAGTTTGCTCCTTTATAAATATTATATATACCATATTGTTACAAAATTGAAAGCAATGCAATCTACTTTACGTAAGAGTAATTAGAGTTGCAAATTAATATAAATGTATTTGAAATAATTAAACATACATATTAGTTTTTATCTATCGGAGAAAATGAAATGAATAATTGAGAAATTTGTTAATTTACTATATGCTACATTATCAAATCTACTAGAATATAACTATAATAAATAGATAATATGGAATATTATTTATATTAATATTAACATTTTACACTTACTATGAATTGTTTTATAATTATTTTCTAATTTTACGTATAACGATATCAACAATGATATCACTTTTTCCCCCCAATAAAACTATCTAAAATACGAGATTTTAAGCTAATATTTTATTTTTCTTATTCACAAATACGATTTATAAGATTAAACTTTATTTTAAACTAGTCGTTTTTTAATTAAAATTGCTTTAAATGTTGAAAATTGCACAACGATAATAATTTTTCTTTTAGCAATTTAATACTATTATAATTGTATGTTTTAATATTATCATTTATTTAGAAAAACTTAAATTTTCCATGTTTTTTTTTTCAACACTTTGTTTAATTAATAGCTATGTAATTCTTATCGAACATTCTTGCGAGAAGTAATTGTATTTTACATTATTTATTCTCAATACTTAGTTTGCTAATCATTAAATTACAAAAACAAAAAGGGGTAAAAATATACGTAGTAATCTATTTAATGTGATAGAAGTATCATTAGTTATTATTAAATAATTAATAAAGAATTGTGTCGCGCTTGAAGATTTTTTAGTTATTTATTCCGTTAATAGCATGAAAAATTCAAAAGATATACTGAATAAAATACAAGATCCACTGTTTTATTATGGAAGCAACTTGTAAATAAATTGCATCCAAATGTATCATTTGAAATTCAAATTTTATCTTTAAACTATATCCTTGTTTATAAACGGTATAAATGTTCTTACTATTACTATTATATTTTATTACAATTTATTTTTTGCCATTACTAATAAACATTCTAAATAGAATTTAGTTCAATTATTTAGCGTTCATATAACTATTTATATGCATGATTATAAATTTTCATTGAAAATTAAAGAAATTCAAGATATAAAGTAACATTAGCTGTAAGAACAAGTAAAATAAATTGATTTGAAAGTGACAGTATTTATAAAATAGTCTACTAAAAAGTAAGAATACATAACATTCTGTCCACTTAGTTTATTTGCTAATTGTAGACGCGACAACCAAATAGAAAGTTTGCAAGTAACCATTCACTTAGAAGAACAAAATAAAGCCAAATAAGATAAAAGAAGCCAATTTACAGAGACGAAAAAAAAAACCATTAAAAATCACCCACTTGGCGCATGCAATCGCTCGAATTTTCTAATTAATGATTAATATACGAGATTTCTTGCTGGCGGTGAACGTTGTCCAGAGCAAACTGGAGCGTCCTTGAAACGATCTGTGCGAGGATGAAAAGGCGTTCGACTCCAGGAGTACGGACTGTCGTCACTGTAATTAGAGCTTGCGCCTACAAATATCAACCGAAGGTTATTTCACTAAATTTAAAGAATAATCGAATGCTAATGATTATTAATTATTAATCAATAGAAGCATCAATATCACCGATTCTACTCAACATTTACATTTTTAATACTCGAGAAAGTCGGATATTTACATAATAAAATGATGAACCGAGCAGCGTAATCGCTGTCATTGAAAAGTATGTATTTATGGATATTGACAGCAATATTTGGAGAAATGTTAAAATTTTGCAACATCTTATTGAAGAATAGTAAGTGACGTGATGAAATACACGCACACATATATATATATATATATATATATATATATATATATATATATTCTTTATGTATTGTACAGTATACGTATGTATAAGATATTTTATATATCCTTCCGTGAATAAAAATCATGAAAATAAAATCTTGAAATGTGTATAATGTGAAATAATATTATGTCGGAAAATAAATTATTAAATGTAAGCGCGTGAAAGATTAAAAATGTAGCGATTAAAGTTCAATGCGCAAGAAAACATTCCTACTATAAATATTTACTTCCTAGATAAAATCTGTTCAAATTGTTTAGAAACTAAGGATATCATTATACAATTATTATAAGACTTATACGTAAGTTTCAAACTGTTTTGAAGAAGAATTCTTAACATAACTTTTTTTTTTTTTTTTTTTTTTTTTTTTGAATACTTTTAATGTATCTAATAAATAAAATGTACAGTGAAAAAGTTAATATTGATAACTATATTATTAATATATATATATATATTTGTTTGTTTATAAAAATGGTGTATGATATTTTTGCTTGAGTAATAAGTTCGATTTAAAGAAAACAGGAGAATTTATCAATAATTAAATTTTCTCTCTTATAAAATAATTTTTTTGTTTATAAGAATAACTTTTGTAGACATTATAGATTTTAAAAATACACAACGATAATAATTATCTCCTCACTTATGCTTGTATTACTTTTTTAATTATATACAATGATAAGCTACATTAAAAATGTCCTTAATCGTAACATTCGTTATAATTAAAATTTCATAACTAATAGTATAAAAATATACTCTGTATCTATCACACTTTTACTACTAAACGCTAAGCAATTACGATCGATTCTTTTAAATAGCACTTTATTGTTAAATTTTCTTCAACTTTTTCAATAATACCGTATATAGTATCCTAGATAATGATTTATCATAATGAGTCATCTTAACTTTTTCCTCTTTTTGTTGGACATTAGTATGCAAGTTACTTTGAAATAGTTTATAGATAGCGTGGCGAATAGTTAAAAACTAATTAGTGTTTTAGCGTCTTCAGCATTAATGATATATTTTATGTTTTTATACCGATATTCTTTTATATGAAATTATGAATGTCGAAAGATTCTAATGAAGAATAAAATAAATAAATGACATTACGATAGAAAGTATTTAAATCAACAAAGTAATGTATGAATTTATCGAGTAAATTAATCATCGATATTTTATCCAACAATACATTTCATTTTATAACATTATATATGTGTGTGTTGATTTTTTTTTTTATTTCAAATTTTCACGTAAATTTTTAGAGCGCTTCTGTTCAATAATTTTAACAAGACAGAAAATCAAAAAGTATTCACGATCAATCGACATCCAAATATATGAATCGTTTATATCGTCATTTAAGCTTGTTACATAAATGTCATATCGCATGTTCTCTCTACGCAACCTACACCTCCACCTATGACCGTGGTAACATGTAACTAATGTCACTATATAACGGCAAAGCGGCAATTTTACGTAATGGTTAATATAATAAATCCACACCTGGATGAAAGACCTTGCCAAGAGATACCGTGGTATAGCCGTTGTTCCGCAAGTGCTCGGGTAAGGTCGTGTAGTTGCCGGCGACCTCGCGCCAGTAGCTATAAAAATCATAGAGCCCCAGAGTATCGGGACGCCGACTTGTGAGGAGAGAATTTCTACTTGGACCACATAGTGCTTGCTGTACGGGTAGGACGAAAATCTCGTTAGACGGTAGTAGTACTTAAGGAGCGATTTGGTTGAGTGGCGAGTGAGCGCCGACTGACCGATGTCATGACTATAAGATGTCATGTAACTTTTCAAATTGGGTGCAAAAAGTAAGACGAAAGGCGAATAATTTCGCGCGAGATTCATAAGTAATTATAATATCGATATTTATGCATATTTAAACGATTAATACGGGCTAAAGTAATCTTAATATTTAACATTATTTTTGGCAAGAATGTCGATACTAACCGAACTTTAATCGACGCGAATGGTTCGCGAGTGGTAATATTCATATAAACATTTTTATAATCTTACCTGTCAAAGTGTACATTATACCGTATTTCTACATTTATTTGAAACGCTCGATTACGCACGACAATATACTTTTCTCCTCATTTTATTTTATTACTCATGTGATGTATTAATTAGTTGTCCTACATTAAGATACAAATTGCGATAATGCCTAGTATAGTTGTAGTGGTGAGGCGCGTGTATTAAATGCAAATTATTTCAATGACAGATATCCTTGGCGATTTATCGATACGTGAAGCGATTTTCATACACTCGACCAACAAGAGATCGCGACGTGGTAAAAAGACATTTGATTCACCTGTGCATAAGCTTTCTCGAAACGTATGCCCTCTGAAGCAAGGCGGTCGATATTGGGTGTATGGGCTCTTCTATCTCCATAACATCCCAGGGCAGGTCTCAGGTCGTCGACAATCACTAATAAGAAATTGCTTCTGCCAATGTCGTGGCTGATTGCCGATATCGACGATAGCATCGCCGCTACTAAGCCCAACGTGTAAAACATCTTGCACAACATCTTGGCCAGATCTAGGGATTAAAGTTATGGGATGAAAAAATTCATAATGATGCGAATGAAAGGACGCAAGCTACAGTCGAACGTACGAGAGACGATAATTATTAATGAATAAAATGAAATTCAAACGACTGTAGTCTCGCGCTCGAATCTTATTTCTTATTAGGCGATTGTCGCTCAATGGAATTGAGATAAAATTTCGAATCGAACATTTTTCAAAGCATCGAAACGCGCAGAACCCGCTCGATTTTATAAAACCATATCATTAAAGTAACGTAGTAAGTAAGCACACGCACGCACTAACGCATTTGAACAAATATTATATAGTTATAAGCGATATGAAATGCATTGTCAAATATAATTAATTATACGGTGCATTGAATAGTAATTATAAATGTATTTAAAGTCGAACGAGCCTGATGATCTAGGAGATTTTTTTCACATTGTTATTACCATTCTTATCATTTCAACTATATCACATTATTCAATACGCACTAATAAATATGTAATAGATTGTATGCTATAATGTTTATCTAAATGATAAATATGTACAATAAATTAAAAAATATTTCTTTAGAAATGTATTTTCAAGCTACATATTTATCTAATAATTACAACAACTAAACGATAAGAACTCCAATTATTTAACAAAGGCATTATATCGTAATCTAAACCTATTCTATAATCGAGCAAATATATTTGTTAAATAATAGATTTCAGTAATTATTAAAGCAAAATTGACTGAATTGCATTTGCAATATTCTTTTAAAATCATTTATTATTGAAGTTAAATGAAAATTTCTCAATATATTATTAATTTTATACTAAAAGATCGCACAAAGAATGCGCTTTAAATTTCAACTTGCCACACGTGAATATAATTTATTTTTTTATTCTTATCGTTTTTTTATTTCATACGTACATGTTCATTTACTTAAAACAGTGCCATTATTATACCGACGTATTATTAAACATATTGAATTTACAATTTTAAATATTATTTTCATCTCGTTATTCATATTGCCATCAACGCTGTGTTCATGTTATTTTTAATCAATTAATCGTACATAATTTTCAAAAAGTAAAATTTTTTGAAACGAGCTGAAATTTTTGAGGATAATAGCTTAGTAGAGACTTATATGGCGACGGTTGTGTTACGCTCGTTACTCTATCGAATATTTTATAATGCTGTTTATGATAAAATGTTTACTATAATAAACTACCGAGAATTAATTCAAGTTTCGTAATATTGAAATTGTAAATGCTATGGAATAACGATAAGAGTACTACGTTTAATCGGGAATTTATAAAGTTGTATTTCATAACGTACATGGTTGTTACTTATTAATATTCAACGCGGCTTTCTAGCAATATTTTTTGCAATTCTGTCCTATTGAAATTCCGTGAAATAATATCGGGGACTATTGGATCTGCTGTACCATCCTTTATTGTTCAGTCTAATTATTATAATTCGTAAATTGATTTTTTTTTTTTTTTGTATTTGAATAATCATTGATTCCTACGGAATATATTTATGATGAGATGACAGTTAGTTCACATTCATAAACGAAGGGCACAACCCAACTGTATAAATTAATTCTTCTTTTATGTTCTTTCTTCGCCGTAAGTCTTTTAAATACTTAAGGTTTTTGCTGCATTTAATCGATGGATTATAGTGCCTTAACAATTAACGTTAATTACCAGTTTCATAAGCAATTTGTTTAGTAGTAATTTTGTACATTCTTTTGTAATTTTAATATTATAAGTTTTAATGTTTGAGGAAAACGTAAGAAAAGAATTTATCTAACATTGTACAGTCTTTTGTTGAAAATAAAGTATTTAAGGCAAAACCTAATGCAATTGTAAATAGTCTTAAGCCTTAAACAATTTTTGTCGTTAAAGATAAATAAAAGTTGTCATTTGGATTAGATTAGGATAGTCGGATAGTCAATAAACAATATCGATAGTTTGTACTAGAAATATTTTTATCATGAATAATGATAGTAACGGTAGCAATAGCAATAGAATCTAAAACAACACCAACAACCACAAAAGCAATAATAATTAAATAAATAAATAAATAACAGTAGTCTGTTCAAATCTTTGAATTTAATAAAGATTATATCTATATATCTATATATATCTATATATATATATATATATATATATATATATATATATATTGTTTAGCTTTCAATAGTCTTGCAGCAAGAGAGATAAAAAGCATAATAACGAAACTACAAATACGTCTGGCAAAAGCGTAAAAGTCCACGTAGGATTAAGTTGCCCTTTTTTATCACCGATCATGCAATCTTCCTTCCTCTATGTCGATCGCATGTCAATTAGAAAGTTGATTCAAATGTCCTGCTACCTTGGGCATTAAATCGAGAAAATAAAGGTTGGCGATCAGTTTTTGAATAAAGCCGTTTGCTTGCAATACAGACGCTAATCATAATGAAGGCGCCGGTTTTTAATTTACCGAGAGGGACGGGGGCACGTCAGCTGATTGCCGTCGTAAATGTAGCCTCGGTACATTTCTTTTTGACAGTTGCTGCGAGTGTCATAACGTAAACGGCAAACGGTGGCCGATACGATTGGAGTGTGCGCGAGTGGAGTGGAAGCAGGATGCAGCGAGAATGAGATGTAATTTTTTTTAAGGAACGTCGTACGTAGAGTTGCACTCGCGCACTGCCGCGGCGTACAGACGGTGGTAAGCATGCATTCGCGCACGCGCATACGCGCAAAAGTCTTTGCGAAGGAATAAAGAGTAAGAGCGAGGGGGATGCCTAGTGGGAGTCAGAGAGAGAGAGAGAGAGAGAGAGAGAGAGAGAGAACTAGGGAGCCAAACGCATAATAAGTATAATAGAGAGAGTAGGGAGTAGTAGGTGTAGAGGGCCTAGAGCCTGACAGAACGAGGATCGGTCGAGCGCACTACTGGCTAGTTCGGCCAGTGTTTGTATTGGCTCGGAGCGGAGTGGAGCGAGGCTGTGAGGTGCTCGCGCTCGCGTAATATTGTTGAGGCGCAGACGGTGTTGATTAGAATTTCTCCCCCACTCGACTCTGCGAGAAAGAGAGAGAGTTAAGCATCGAATAATGAAGACGCAGTAGAAGACGAAACGGCGTTCGCTGCTGATCTAGCGACGGAATAACGAGGACCAGTGGTGACTGGCCGTGTAAGTGTCGTCAACGAGATCTAATTTTCTGGTTGTAACACACACGCGCATCATTGTTACATGCGCGTAAAAGCACACGCGAGTACACGTCTTTACTCTCGCGCTCGCGTTTGTGTACGTATGTATACATCTGTGCATGCGTTTGTGCGTTCGGGCGTGTGTACATAGGTGAGCGAGTGCGTGCGTACTTGCGTATTTACATATGCACCTACACCAATGTATGCGCATACATACTGTTTCTTTGTTGCTACTCTTCGAATACTCTGCGATGTCTCGCCCCATCATCTCTTTTCCTCTCTCTCTCCCTCTACTCCCGCTCCCTCGCTCCCTCGCTCGCTTCCTTTCGTTCTAACAAACTCCCCGCTAAATCTCCCCCCCCCCATTCCCATCGCCCCTTGCCATCTTCGTAACCCTAACCGTCCCACCCCGAGCCACGAGCTTCTCCCACTCCTGGCCGCCCCTCCTCCTGCCACCGCGCGCTGCCTTTGTGACGCTTCAGAGTTAATTTTCTGCTCGGGCATTAACAACACAATGTACGCGTAGTTGGAAAGAGTAGGAAGCTATGCACTAGCTATTTTGGCCAAAGTTTTTTGCGCTACTCGGCGGGAGTCGCGCGCGCGCGCGCGAGGAAGGAAGAGCCAAGTAGGACCGGATTAGGTAGGTGTCAGAGACGCAATAGTAAGTATCCCCGGACTCGGGCAAAGAATTACCCCGAGAGCCGTGGCTGAGGGATAGGCACAAGGGTGGACGGTGGGACGGTGGTGGGGGCAAACAGCTGTGTTTCCATGTCGCGTTGTCGGGAATGTCGGTTCTGTTCGAGCGGTCGTCTTAGTCGAGGCCTACTTAGAGACGCACTTGTTTGCACTGCTTGATTATTGTTGCGCGGACGCGAGTTGTGCAATGCCGAGAGGAGGCCGTGTTGCGCGCACAACTTGGACGACCTTTGGGAGAGCGGCGCACGTCCTTTTCACAATAGAATGATCGAGCCCCCCCCCCGTCTTTGTCGCAGGAGGCGGACCTTCCTTTTACATGAGCAAGCCATCCCGGTACAATGTCAGCTGATTCTCCCCGGAGGACTGGTTTGCACAAAGGTGCCCAAATCATCACCCCTCAACCCATCAGTGACACATCCATCATAGACAGCGTCGCTGGGATCATCAACGACATAGTTCCGCAGGTCAGACTCCTAGTAGTCCAATGGGACTGGCTCTTACGACTAAATTCATCGACCGATATCTTTCCTTTTATAGGGTTACACCAGCAGTATACCAAACTCTGACAACAGGGAGTCCATAACGTGGGCTAGATTCGAGTATGCGGATGTCAACGATCCACTCTTCTATCCTGATTATAACGAGGGCTCTAGCATACCACCTTTGCTACTCGTCCTGGGCTATACAACTGGAGTACAAGTACGATATCGCAAGTCTCTACGCTTTAATGTCTTGTCACCATAATCAAAACTTAACATGCACAAATGTCCAAGCGTGCGTGCTCCTTTATACTCCATTGTGAACTTGCAAGAGCCATTTCTCTTTGGCATGTTATTTATTTATTATTGCTTTTGCTTAACGATTGAAACTATTTGGCATTGGATATTGCATAATATGATAAATTGAATATAAATAATGATTCGTGGGTCACCTTACTAATTGGCTTACCTAAAATGTCTGTAAAATTTTGTGCCACGCTGGGCACACGAACCCTGAGAGAACGAGCATAATAAGATCGCCTTGAATTTTGCCTGAATTGTCCATTAAGTGCTGTTACTATTTTCAGGTATGGCTAATCGCAGCATCTGGCGAGGCTACAGAGGTTTTGTCATGGCGACAAGGTATGGTGCGTACTTTGCGAATTCTGCCTAATCCCAATAGCGGCGAGAGGGAACGTAACGATCCGTTTAAGCAGAAACGGCCGATGGTAGCGATATGCGATTCGGCCGGGCCCGGACCTCAATTCTGCAGCGTCAGCTTCATATCGCTAAAGACTGGCGAACAGGTGAAGAGTATCAAGTTTAAAAGTCCTGTCTGTGATGTTCTCGCTAACAAACGATCCATCGCTGTCACCTTCCCCGAGAGAATAGCCGTCTTTGACGCCAAGACATTGGAAGATGTGCTGACAATCACCACGTGCTATTTGAGTCCCGGGCCAAATCCAAATCCGGTTGCTCTTGGTACAAGATGGCTGGCTTACAGGTATTTAAATTTTGTTGTTTGTAACGACAAGATATAGACAAACGCGTTCGTTCCAAAGGGTGTGTAAATTCTTACTTTTAATGCAGTTTCGTGCGCCAGTATACTTAAAAAAAATAAAGGGTTATTCAAGTAGAGTCATTTTGAACAAATATAAAATGGTTGGTTGGCTGTGGTCGCCTTAGTTTTAAAATTTTATCAAACTATTTCACATCGAGTAAATTAAAGACACTTAATCGATTCTATTATTTGATGCACAACACTGTATTACGAGGATTATCATTGCATCTAAATGCTAAAGCTTCTTTCAATAATACAGAGTTATTTGAATTGTACAGACTTAAATGTAAATTATAATTATTCTGCAATTTGTCCAACAAAGCAATGTGACTGACGGACGACCAGCTCTTCTCAAGTGTATTGGAAAAATTTAGATGTAATTAAATGTATGATACATGAGATGCTGTTAGGTCATTGACCCCCTTTTAACACAATATTTTCCTATTAAAGGAGAATAAAACGTAAAAAAAGAATGTAAAACAGAAGAATAAAAAAGACGCAATAAATAGAAGATTTTATTACCGTTTGACAATCGTATTTGCCTAGTTTTGGAGTCTGTAAACAGAGGGCAGTACATTCAATATCCGATTCCACAAATCTTGTGCGCGCAGACGCATATGTCCACGAATCTTATGTGTGCGGGCGCGCGTGTTACGTCCAACATCTAAATTATTTTGATATTAAAATAATTGCTTGTTGACTGAAATTAACTGAAATTAAGCGTAAAATAAATAAGATCGCGTTTGCGTATCTTTGGGACATATAATGTCAATTACATTAAACGATACACGTAAATTACAAGCTTAAACCCAGTCAGCTATTATATTGCAGAATTATATACAGAATTTTTAAAAAACATGTATATTACTACGGAATTGTCCCCTTAGCAACCAAATGAATTCTAATGAAAATTTCGTTTGTCATTATTCGTCTATTTATATATTCCGTTTTACCTGTGCTTTTCACGAGATAAATCATTAAAGTTATTATCGATATATTTTGTCGTGAAATTTTTTTATCAATACTTATGATCTTTTTTTTTTATTTTCACATCGAAATGCACAACAATTATCGACTTGTGTATTATGGAGTTCACTTTTGTCCTTCAATAGGAAAAATAAAGCTTTTATTATCCCAATACATCAATAAATTATAAAAGCTATAGAATCATTGAATATTGATAATGTTTATAAATATTTGTAAACAAAATTCAATTTACTCCAAATCATTATAATAAGAACTAGAGAAAGAAGATTTGTCAAATGTGTTTTATCATAGATAAGATTCTGTTTAATGTAAAAATTAATTGGTTATAATTGTAAATGAAATGCTTAATTGCAGGTAAACAAATAGTCGAATTAATTAAATAAGTTTTTAGTTTCAATTTTTTTTTTTTTTTTTTTTAAATAGCTCGAATTTCTTTTAAAAGTTAAAAATTATATTACAACAAGATTTGCATTATTTTTTCTCTCTTTTAATCTTTTACTCAATGTTATATATGTACACACACATATATATATATATATATATATATATAAATTATTATAGCGCGTGTTTAGAAAAGTCACGAGATGCCAAGTGTGACAAATGTGCAATTTAAATTATTCACCAATAAACAATTGCACAATTTATCGCTAATACGTTTAGAAAATAGTTTAAACGGTTTCATCGAATATTTAGCCAATTTAATTTAGAGAATTTAAATAAGCGTATTACATAATTGTATTTTAAATGTAATATTGTACACGTACGTTCATAGATTTACAAATCGACAATTCGTTTCCGTATAACATTAACATATTTCAAAATATTTATAAAATCCATTCTGTTTCTCATATTCCTTTTCTTCAATTTTAATAACAAAATAATTAGATTGATTTTAATTAATTACTCGCTATGTCGTATGCGTAGACAAAACATTAGCTTGATCTCTTGGAATTGATAGTTGGCGATAAACTATTTTCTATATAGAAAATTTAAAAGCATTTGAGTCATTTGAAAAGACAATGCATAATGAGGAAGGAACATTCAAATTTTACTCCCACAAGTTGAAATGCATCTTATTCCGTTGATAAACTATACAATAGAATTGATACGCGGTAACATTAATCACAATATCTAATTAAATAAAGTTTGCCAAAGTTTATTAAGTTGATCTGTATTGAAAGTGATCTATACGAACTTTTGGCAAATTGTGCCAAAACTTATTTTACCTAAGCTTAGCACATTTTGACACACGTGGCACAAAACTTTCGTAGCAAAACCTTAAAAAAGAAAAAAATGCAATTACCAAATTATAAAATTAGAAAATTTGTTAATACAGCTATCTGGTACTTCACGTATGTATTAGCTGTTTCATTATACTTTGATAACAAATGACAGTATATATTTCATTTCATTCCTTACAATCGAAACACAACTACAATTACAGACTACAAACGACGGCAACTTTTATCCAAGAAACATATAATTTTTTACGTTCTAGACAATAAAAGTTCATATTTAAGTGAAAATCCGTATTTTTACTTTTATGCACCAACGGTATTTAAATTTGACGAATTTGATTCATTAAAAACAATTGCTTTTTAATTACGCATTTATACGTAACAAACAATATAATCGAGTAATATAGTCATAATGTTTATTTTAATTTAAGCATGATATGAAGTATTATCGAGTAACACTAATTCACAAGCATCGAAAGAATAAAAATAATTTTTTTATAATCAATCGACAAGCATCCGAGTTTAACAAAATCTATATTATTTTAATGTAGATTCCATACAGGTCCGATTAAACCACCAAACGTATAGAAAACTATTGAATCCAAGTATTTGCATTGTGCGTCGATAATTTCCCAATACGCGTGACATAGGGACGTCCCTTTATCGTCGCTCAATTTCTATACAGAAATATTGACAGACCAACTTCTCGTTTACTGTACTTGTAGCGAAAAGAAGCTGATACCCGGACGCAGAAGCAGCGGCGGCAGCGAGGGCGAGGGCGTCTCGAGTTATACGGCGACGGTCCTCTACGCGGCCAAATCCCTGGGTAAGGGCCTACGAGGTCTCGGTGAAACGGTCGCCTCGAGTCTCACCGGCAACTCCGTCTCGCCGATTAGCACCGTCAACAATGCCCATATAGCCGACTCCGCGCAGCCGGGCGTCGTCACGATCCTCGACTTGCAGGCTGCTAAGGAAGAAAAGGAAATGGATGACGGGAACGTGGAAACTGTGGTCGCACACTTCGCCGCTCATAACGATGCCATTGTTGCCATGATCTTCGACCAAACCGGGGCCCTGCTCATGACAGCGGACAAGCGCGGACACGATTTCCACGTCTTCAGGTACACATTAGGTGCAATCACGGTTAATCCTTATTTTCGCCATTGGCAATGGCCAACTGGAGCAATGGCCGCGCACATCGGCTATTTTCAATAAACGAAGCCCAACCGTACTTATGGCGATAAAAAAAAAAATTGGTAATTACGTTACAGGATACAACCACATCCGGGCGGCCCGAGCCTAGCCGCCGTCCACCACCTGTACGTTCTCCATCGGGGCGATACGACGGCCAAGGTACAGAATATGAGCTTCTCGAGCGACGCTCGCTGGGCTGCAGTCTCCACAGTCAGGGGCACGACCCACGTCTTCCCCGTAGCCCCGTACGGCGGTCCCGTGGGCGTGAGGACGCATTCATCGCCCCACGTCGTCAATAGGCTCTCGAGATTTCACAAGAGCGCGGGCCTCACCGACGACGGGGCCCGTTCCCATTCCCCGGTCTCTCACACGGAGCTGCCTCTGCCCGTCTATCCTTACACGAATCCACGATTACCGCCTTATCCGCACCCGACGATCCTTCACCCCTTGGCGCAGATCAGACAACCATCGAGCTTGAATCACATGAACAACCAAGCACAACCGAGGTGAGACCTCGTTAGCGGCAGCTATACCAATGCGCCAACGTATATTTATTATTACACGCGTGACCTGCGATGCACGTTTATTCTTATTGTCGGCTTGCTTTTACCCGTTTTCTTTCCTACTTGAATATATCGATTGATGTTAGTCAATTGCCAAATAATGGCTGATGGTGTAATTTTGCTATTTAACTGGATTGTATCGATAGTCTTGTAAATTTTAATTACCGTTACAGTTTAGATTAATAATTAATTGCATTCATTGTATTCGATTTATCAGCCGAGTCAATTTTCTACATCTTTATTATTTTAAAATATAATTTTACCTTTATTTTATTGTTCTCTACTTAAGCTCTTCATTCTAATTACAGCGCGCTGACTAAGCGATCTACTTTACGTATTAACGAGAAAAGTTTTTTTAAAATACTTCATAATGTAATAGTGTCATTTATATATATACATTCGTCGTAACGTTCATCATATTGTAATTTGAGATCTCAAAGTTTTCCGAGTTATAAACATTGTATTTGAAAAAATTGTAACGTTCATTGTGTCTACAGGGTGCAGCAACGACAGCGTCTACATTCGGACGACAGCGTGACGTTGCCATTGAAAATCTGCGCCTGCTTTGCACCACCGCGAGCCTGGATTTATTCACAACGCGAATCAGCTAACAAATTGCTCAAACGAGCCATCGACTCTTTATTCATTATGGCTTGCCACGGCAACATGATCCAATACGATTTGGACCCTAAACCGGCTGCCGGTGAGTGTTTCCTGCTAATATCAAGAGAATACTTTTTCAGGCCCTGCAATAATATTGGCATTAAAGGATGATGGAATAACTACGTACAAAGAAGTTAGTTTCTTAGCTATTTACGATATGAAATAGTTCATTGTTAAATCTGTCGAGTTTTACTCGGTTTTATTATTCGGTCGAGGTGTTCAAACGTTCATTCCCAACGCCAATTCGGCCATTCGACAATCGACATTGATTGATCGTTGATTTGTAGGCGTGCCAAAGGAAAAAGTATGCGATGAAACGTCGATCGAACTGGAGATGGAGGCGAAAGGTCAATGGCCACTCTTGAGAACCTCGATTTCCTCCGACATCGTTCCTCCTCTATCGCCCAACAGTTTACTCATGGGTGTCTCCATCACCCCGTCAAACGACCAACAAATCAACAGCATCGAGAGTCGATGGTTGAGCCAAGTAGAGATCTTCACACACGCCGGGCCTCATCGTCGACTTTGGATGGGACCTCAATTCGTTTTCAAAACATACAATGCGCCGAGCGGGTAATTTGCACCTGATCTTTCGTCGACCATTATATTATTAAAGTTCGTTAATCACCAATCACCAATGACCAATCACCAATCACGAATCACGAATTCCAAAATTTTGCAATGCCTCCTGTCGCCTACTAATTCCCAGGACTCACAGTTAAGTGCCATCCACTCAATTCCCCAAATACACTAATTGAAAGGAGGCCCGCGCGCGAACTCGGTCGATGCGACTAACTAACCGTCTAACTATCGTCGGCCGAATTAATTAACGCGTGAATGTTATAAAAATTTGAAGGGTCGCAGCCAATTTGGTGGAGGCGGAGACCGTGGAAATTGGCATCGCAAGTGGCTCCCGACCCGCCAGATCCAATCCCGTGAATATGCCCCACGCAGCGAGCAGGCCACTGATACCGCTAGTCATCGATGGCTCTGGAAGTAAGCGTAGCCAAGAATTGTTTAACCCCACGTCGATGCACATCGCGCCTAAGCAAATGAATGTCCAATGTTTAGGCAGTTACGAGCAGTCGCCGAGATTCGTAGAGGCTTACGGAGACGCCTTAGATCAGGAGGATGTTGGTGTAATTGGAAGTGGTGAGAACCAATTGAGAGAGGATCTCGCGGAGGCCATGCTGGAGACGTCGTCGACACCTCACCGAGTCGCAGGTACGTGTTGCCATGCAATGTTACGAGCCGACCAATGCATTCCAATGTCAATTCGAGCTTACTAAAATACATACTCAGAGCTGGAGCATATTTTTATTCATAAAATACATATAATTAATTAATGATATGAGTAATCCATGAGTAAGAGATGGATTAGTACATCCCGTGCATTTTAACGTAAGCATGAAGCGTTCTGTTTTATCTTGGAAGATTTTGCTATTAGATGTCACTGTTAAATTAGCCGTACTTATGGCATTACACGACGTACACATATTAGCCTGTAGTGATTAAACCTCACTTTCAACATTACGTTTAACCTTAATTATATTTATCTGTATATTATAGCGAATGTAATAAATAAACTTTCGTGCCTCGTACTTGTGTATGCCAATCAATTTACTTTTAATATTCGACTGCAATATTCTGCTCTTTATGTACACGATTGGATTAAATGATTGATTGCATAAAGTAGAAGTTACGTTGTATAGCGATAACCGTAAGAATCATTACGTGCATCTATCTGTGTAAGGACGAATACATAAAGAGTGGCGTTGATTATTCAAACTGCACGTAGTTGACGATGGTGGCTAGTTTTTATATATCGTAAGACGCGGACACAGAACTAGCTAAAGGCAGGTATCTTTGTTGCACTTTTCTAAACAATTCTTTTCTCTCTTTTTTTTGTTCATCAAAATGTTTATTTATTGTACACTAGCAACGTTTCACTAACAGCTATTATTATCTGGCCTCTAAGTAAGAAATCACAATAGCATTTTGTAAAATTGCCTCGCCAAAGAAGGCATATTTTTTGATTATTGTTTTTACGCTTTTTTTTTTTACGACAGAGCCAGACGTAACACAACTGCAAGGCAATAGTTGTCAGCTTATTTATTTTCTTTTATTTCTTCTTACACGTACGCTTGCTACTAAATATTATCGAGTCTAAAGTTTTCAAATCGAAAAAAACTAATAGCTTGATTGTTGTCCACATTGTACAAACAATACGTCATACCTATCACGTGCATCTCCAATCACTCGTTGAAAACAATGCAAAACTTGTGTGAACGAGTGTCGCAGTGCACATTACATTAAAAGAATTAGCTTCTCACATACTCACTTTTGACATAAGACATGCAAGAACGATGAACTAATTGAATATTTTTTTGACAATAAAATATTTATGGATATATACATGTGTACGCGTACACGTGTGTGTATGTATAAATAGCGTATATATAGTGGTTGAAACAAAGTGTTTACATTATTTCATAAATTAATTATTGGAAAGCAATGCCAAATATAAAGTATAATATATATATATATATTCTTTTTTAATTCTATACTTTGAATTTTGTTTATTTAATTATATGCATCTATTCTATATAAAACTGTTAATTAAATGTTTTATGAAATTAATGTTCAATCGAGTATACCCTTACCAATAATTCAATTCAAAATTTTGACAAGCTTCTACACTATTACATATTTCAAATCGCAAAATACATATATTTACTGTACATAGAAAATCGTAGTAAGTACTTAGAAATGATTTACAATTAGTAGTAGTGCACTCACTATTTGCCGATGTCAAGAAAAATTTTTAAGCTCAACAATATTCAAACACAACAATAGAGCGACCGGAAATCCAAACGAAAGCGTTTGCTCTCGCCACAAGATGTTTGTCCCCCACCAAAATTTTTAAAAAAAAAAAAAAAAAAAAAAAAAAAAAAAAAAAAAAAAAAAAAAAAAAAAATCCACGGACGTTGCTGTCTTAATCATGATAAATGTAACGACAACGATAGCACACATCATGACATCATGCACAAAACATACACAGAGTGAATTCATATGAAAAAGACACTCGCGTTCGGATAAGCATTGATATCTGATACCTGCCTACGGCTTTTTCTGTTAATCTAGGGCGGCGCTTGGTAGTTGAGAGGGTGGGTCACCCGGTAGCTAAGGTCGTCAACCCCCTCGGGACAGTGATAACCGTCTCCGCGGACGAGGAAGACGCGTCCCTTACCCAACAGGAAGGCAGCACTCATGGGGACAACAACAACGAGGAAGACGAGCGCTACTGCTCCTCGTCGACCTCCTCATCCTCGGCCAACGCCCCACCGACGACGAGCGTCTGCGCTCAGGCGGGCAAGTGGCTCGAGGATAAGGATTCGCGTCTCCGCGAGCTCGAGAGCCAAGTGCTCCGCGAGCATACTGAAATCTGCGCGGAGATGCGGTCTGCGAACGAGCCCGCGGTCATCGACAGCGTGCCCGATGACAGTATCGAGGAACTGAAGGAGCGGCGCAGCCTCTGCGCAGAGGCCGCGAGCACCGCTACCTGCTGCGCGGTCGACCTCGACAGAGTCGGTGCCTTCCGGGACGTGCCTAGCAGCCCGAGCCTCTGCGCCGAACGTGGCGCTGTCCTCGACTGCAGCAACCTGCTGCAGGGCAGGCGAACGCTGCGACGACTTGGGCCCGGGCCCGGTCCGCCCGCTGACGATGCGTCCGAGCTCGATTATCAACTGCTAGAGGTTGAGACGAGTCCGAGCTGCGAGGGGATCTCCTCCGACGAGGACCTCGAGCACATAAACTCGGAGGAATTCGCGGAGGTTGTTCGGAACGCCACCTCTTCCGACGAGAACATCGAATATATCGAGCACATCGAGCATGTGGTGATACAACAGGGCAACGCGCCGGAATCGAAGAGACGGCCGGGGGCTGTTGGCAGGAAGCGCAGCAAGGAAAAGCAGCGCGCTGCCGAGATGACGGTCGGGAGGTCGGCCGGCCTCGAAGAAGCCAATAAACTCAACCCAGTGAAACAGGAGCGTAAAATTCAGCAACAGCCGAAGAAGATGTGGGTCCGTCCCAAGCGTCAGACCTCCGCCGCTTTCGGTGATATGGTCGAAATCATCAACATGGACGCAGTTGTGAGCACGGCGCCCGATCCATTGTCACGACCATTGCCCCTGCCTGTACCGTTGCCTCTATCTCCGGCTCCAGCTCCTGCTCCGACCAACGCCCCGACCTGTCCGCCACCGATGCTCGCAACGTTCGACGAGCCGCTTGGCCTCCCAGACATGGTGGAGATCATAAACATAGACGCGGAGAAGAGCAGTGGCTGCTTTCCGAGCGGCCCTCTCCCCGATTGTAAGATCCTTCTAAATCGACCGGACCTCTCCAAGAAGAAATCTAAGCGCCACAAGAAACAGCAGAAGCTACAGGGGGGCACGCAGATGCCGCAAATTCCGCAAATTCCGCAAATTCCGCAAATTCCGCAAATTCCGCAAACCCCGCTAACCCCATTAGTCACGTCACCGCTTGCCTTTCGGCAGCATCAGCAACAGCAACAGCAACAGCAGCTTCTCGAGGACCTCGAGCATTCGGAGTCGACGCCCGATCGGCGAGCGGAGCAAGAATCGGCCGATGATAAGTCCGTGGAAGAGTTTCTACAAGAGAACGATTATTGGAACGCAATGATCGGACGTTGCAGAGATAATGCGACGCAAATAGAAAATGCAGGGAGCGTTGATAAGAACGATGAGGAGGGGGAAGTGGCGGTGGACGATGAGGGGGAGGTAGAGGGGGAGGCGAACAAGGAAAACGTCGACGTGAGTAAGCGCGATAAGGAGGAAATCGAGGACGAACAGAAAATGGCCGTGTTTAACGTATGGCTGAGTTGCAAGCAGGAGGAGCTCTCGATGAAGCAGCTTGTCGAGCATCGTAAATCACAGAATCCAGCGGACGCGGAGCCAAAGAAGAGGAGCGACTTTGAGCTGGAGCCGATGGGCATGTTGGCGGTGCGCTCGAATTCTTTTGACGAGCTTAGTTACAATGATTATGAAAACGAGATTGTGACGATGGACACGGGGGACGAGACCGTAAACATCGGCAACGCGCCCGACGAGCAGTTCATCACCGCCCTGTCCGAGAAAACCTCGAGAAACAATAGGGTAATGATACCAGTGTCGGCTCTGCAAGCCGGCGTTTTACCAACGAAGAAAGCCAGTCGATCCAAAAAGAAAAAGCGCAGATGAGTAGAGGACTGCATGGATGTACCCGGGGCCGGCCTCGCCCTCTGCATTCTCTTTATGCAGGTGGCCGGGGTTGATTAGCAGTAAGATATACGGGGTGGGATTTGGGAAGATACGGTTGGGAGTCGGGATATGAGGGGACCTTATAAAAGTGGGTATGGGATATTAGCGACTGGGTGGATGGTGGGGGGGGGGCATTATCTACTATTGATTTTTGCCTTGTGTCCAACGGCAGGAGGATGTATTATTGCAGATAAAGGCTGTTGAAAAAGCATATGCTGTAAATGTTTTTGTGCGACTTTCGTGCGAAAATGACGTGTATTCTTTCAATTTGTATTTGAAAAAAATTATACGTATCGTTAAAGCAACATATTAATTTTCTCGAGCTCCATAATCGAAAGTTTTATTATTTTCTCTCTCTTTTTTTTTTTATTTCATTCATATCTTCGTGTTTTTAAATATAATGAGAATTTAATAAACACTCGGAAGGTTGGATCGATTGAAATATTTATGCATGTAAACGGAGCTTTCTACATCTCAAAAATGTCATTATATTAATTTTATTTATTTATTTATTTATTTTAATATTTTAAGCAAACCGAACAATACATACTTTATATTAGATATGAATTAAGATAATTTGTTATCTCAGTAAAGATAAATGAAAATTGAAAGTAAAGCATCATGTAGCTATTAAGTCCACATAATTTTATTAGATTTTAATGTAAAAATACACGGTGAACAAAAGTAAATGTTAGAGCACAAAAAAATTTACAGTGTAATTAAAAATCTCTCTTCAAAAGTAGATTTTAAATCATGTATTAGAGATCATATTGTTGGATCTCGACGTGATTATCGTCGTGTCTTGTTCTTATCATAATTGTTGTAGTTGCTACCGATGCTGCAGCGTGTAAATAAAATGTCATCTACCATATGAAGTATCCGAAACTATATAAAAAGCAAAGAACGTGCATTTTCTTAATAATAACCAGTAAAACGGGCCTTTATATATGTATGTATGTACATTTAAAATTCAAACGAAACGGAAATTAAATGGAAGAAAAAGTGAGAGAGAGAGAGAGAGAGAGAGAGAGAGAGAGAGTGAGAGAGAGAAAGCGCACGCTTGAGGTACATCAGCACGGAAATACATCTTGTTTACAAAACGTTTAAATGTTAATAATATTGTAAGCATATAACGGTCATGTAAATCTAAAATTTTATACAATTAGGCCGTCGAGTATTCATATCAGTAAATAAATATTTGTATATATGTATGAGAAAAATCACTTGTAGAATTACAAGTTGAATGTATATTTAGAAAAAGGGAACATTTGAGAATATCTCTATTTTTATTATTACAAACTTCATATCTAGTACAATGCAATTAGATAATATTTTTTAATTGTCTTTGGTTCGCACATGCAATAACGAGATACATTAAATTAAAAGATTTTATCTTTTTAAATCATATATATTATAATTATTAGTAGTGGACATGCATTACTTGAACAAATGTATTATTATATAATATATTTTATACATTCAAGATAATTTGTTTTTAAGATAATTGAGAAGTAATTTTAATGGATTTTCTTTTATATATGCTATGCAGTATTGTTTTATTTTTATTATTAATTTTATCTCAGATAAATAAAACAAAACAGTCATTATGTTCTAGCTTTAGAATATGTAAATCGATAAAGTGGAAAAGTATAAAACAGTAAAATTCTTATGACCATGATATTTTCCCCCGATATAAATTTAAATGTATTTATATGACAATTTTTTTTTTTTTTTTTTTTTTTTTTTTTTATCCTAACCAAGATATTTAAATATCACGTGTAAAAACAGTAGTATAATATTTTTTGTGTATATGTATTTTTTGTATAATTGCTTCTTCGTTAATGATCTCAAAATACCACTTTGTGAGCTTTATTATAAATTAAATATCTTCGTATTGCGCGTTCACCAATACTTTACAGCTTCATTTTGAAGATTTATCGCAGCATTGTGTAAGCGTAGGAAGGTGCGGTTAGCAAAAAATAAAAGAAAAAAAAAACTTACTAATATTAATGGTTAAGCTGCCGCGAGCACATAGATATGTACATAAAGCAAAATATTCGTAAAAACATTTTACAGTCGTAATGTATTTCACCGTAGAAATTAGAAATTAACGTGAAAAGAAAAAAAAAAATATGTTCGAAAATCAATTATCTTTTGCTTTTAACAGCTAGGCCAGTTATTTAGAGAACGTAGAACGAAATTTACGTAGATAATAATTAATTTTATTGCAACGTATAATTTATTTCATTTAGAGTTTTTCATAGCATTGAAGTGAAAATAATCAAAGTATTTTTTAAGCTTTTATATGAAAATAAGTACAATAAAATTAAAAAATTGTGTGTGCGCGCGCGCGCGCGTGTGTGTGTACATACTTGTAAGGAGACAATATTATTCATAAAAAAGAAATTTTTTTTTTCTTGTTGAATAATTTTACAGAAATATTTAAGCTTTTAAACTCAATTACAAACTTATGAATTACGTATTATTATTATAATTCACCATCACATTTTATTTCGTGTTTCGAACGTAAGATGAAGCTACTTCTATATTCTACCGTATTCGTGTATCAACACATCGATCATTGTTAGATCGACATATTGCACATTTATGGGCTCGTAGGTACTTACCAACGGTGAGATTGTATATAATTATGCTTTAATTTAATATGGATACCAATGAACAAGATAATGAAATTATAAATCAGTATATAAGTGATTTGAAGCATAGAATAAAACCTTGTATAAATTATATAACCGAGATATATAATGAATATATAAAGTGCACTCGCACGACATAAAAAAAAAGAAAAAAAAGAAGAAGATATGTTCAAAATACTCACACTCAAATGATAAAATGAAAATAGACGTACATAATAATATATTTGGATATTTATAAATATATGTGCAATATTGCAAACGTCCGCGCCAGAATAACAAAAAGTTTCGCCCGCGTTATAGGAGAAAAAAAAATAAATAATCACATTGCGTAATATCGCAATTCCGATAGCATCAGTTTTAAAAATATATGCATGTATAATCTATCTTTGATGGTAAATTATCAGTCTAGCGGAAGAATAATTTTAAAACTTTTGTCATCGGTCGATAGAGCTTGATGCGTGTATAAACGAAGGCAACACAAACAAAAGAGATTATCAGCGATTACGTATAATTACATTATTGTGAATTCTCTCAAATTCTATATTGTATTGTATAGAGAAAAAGTGTTCATGATTATCTTAATAATTTAAAACGGGAAAGAAAGCCGATAATAGTTACAACTGCGTATCTAGTATATTAATTATTTAATAAAAAATGTTGACTTATGGGATTATATCGAACGGAATTAATACAATCCAATTATAGGACGAATTTCGAACGAATTATGTGATATTAAGAAGGAAAATTGAGATATTTATAATTCAGAGTGAATACAAATTCGCAGAATATGGATCGCATGAGAATTAAATGAAAATTTTATTTCTTAAAGTAATGTACTTTTGCTGACATTGTGAGCATTACTCTTATGATCTTATGATCAAAAAAGAAAAATTAATAGGAAAATGTATTTAGTAAAATTGAATCGTTGATTTATAGGAAATAAATGCTAATGTAAACGTAAAGCGAATCAACGATAATAAAGACGCGCACGCGCACGCGCACGCACACGCACACGCACACGCACACGCACACGCACTCGAACACAGAAACACAAACACACACAAACACGCGCGCGCGCGCGCGCTAGATATCGTGACGAAGGAATCAAATTTTGGTGTAATAGAATAACGAGGTATAAGAAAATGGGACGAAGGGATGATGATAAAAGTCGAATGGAGAATGGATGTGGGTACCAATGCAAAATTAATGAGTGGAAATAAATGATTAAAATTCAGATAAATTTTGTGTATTTCATTTCAATCAATGAAATACCTTATGCAATGCAACAATTAAAAGCTTTAATTTAAAACGGTGACACGAATGCTATCGCACTCATAGAGCAAGTATCACTTACTATTAACAGTATCGAATATTTTTATTTTTTCAAATTGATAATATATTATAACGAATTGCGTAAGCGAAGTGGCAAACATTACCATGTAATAAAAATTTATTCTGTAATTGTATAATACATGTACCTGTATGTGAAAACATTTCGATAGTACAAAACATTATTTTTCACAATATAAACGAATAATAATAAACAATAACAACAACAACAACAATAATAATAATAATAACAATAATAATAATAATAATAATAATAATAATAATGATAATAATAACAATAATAATATTTTCTTTTGTTGGAAATCTTGCTCACAGTCTGAGAATGCATTAATCATAATAATTAAGCACCTTCCAGATATAATAAAGACGTACTGAAAATCTGGCAAAGTAAGTTCCCCCTACTGGCTCTTCATATGCAATCTTCTATTATTACAATTGGTAAATGTTACTTGGTATGGCAGAGTACATTGAAATACAGTTCGCTCGCTGTCTTGGAGCTTATTATTACACTTGACTACTTAAAAATAACGGATTGAGCAAAAACTACTAAGAACAACTAAACATCTGCTTTACTAATATTATCTCAATGGCTTTGGCAATTGCATAAAACGATATTAAGTAGTAAATGAAATATTAAGCGACGAATTGGACAATCGTAATTGACGATTGGCCAACGTATCTGTCATATAAACGATAATCTATTGATTGGAGGACTCTAAGAGCTTCCGAGTATATGGGACGTTAATTAACCAGGGGGTCGTGGGGTACGGCTGTTGTTGCAGGTGGGAATCAGTCGATGGCGAGCTACGAGGACCTGAGCTCAAGCAGTTTCAGCTCGGCGAGTCGCGCATCCCTGGACGCCCGGAGCTCACCGACGGCCTCCTACAGCGCCGAGCACATGATGGTCTTCCCGGGTGACAGCAGCGGCTCATTATGAGTTTCCGCCCCGGGGACGGGCAGTTTCGCCAACTGGATGCGTATACCCCTCTACTATTTCAGAGACTGAGTCCTCCCCGATACGGACTCTCATCGGCGTATTTCCTGTTTTCTTCTAACGGGCCACCACTACGCACATTCAACAAAATTCCCTTCTCCCACTGCCGCTATACGTGGCTTTCCCCCGTAGTCGTGTACGGCCCTGTCGAGCCCAAATTTGGTTGTAAAACACGCGCGTACACTCGGGCTTCTTAATTCGAGCTCTCGAATGCGCAAGCACAGCATCTCATTGACTCTGTACCATTCGCCGAATCCAAGTCCAATGGCTGCTACAGCATATTTTACGATAATCCTTGGATTCAACGCGTGTTCACTGTTACGTGGGGAATCACTCGTGCATTTTTTACCGTCGTTTGGTACCTTTAATTTTCGGAAATCCGTGTATAAACGCTGAGAAACATACGATTAGTCTTAGGAGTCGGTCAATTAGTGGCCTTCCATTCATGGATTTTTTATTACCGATTTTTCCCATAACCTTTAGGCAAATTATGGAAATTAACGTATTTTATTTTTTTTTTTTTTTTTTGTTTTCCTCCCCAACGACAACAGGATATTTGAAAGAATCGACCCGACTACCTTGCAATAAATAATATAGGCCTTAATAATAAAAATGCATATAAAAGTACATAAGATAAATATCAGGTTTTGGGTGTTTTTCTTTCATTGAAAGGAAACTTTTAGACTTAGCGCCAACCTTTCTGTTCCAAGAACGTAACACGCTTAGCAATGCGGTTAATTTTAGTTGCGTTCGCGTAGCCAAAATTGCAACCAATGTTGCTCCGATATCCCTTATATGTCGTCTCCCTTTCAATTGCGAAATTCTTGACATTTTTAGAGAAAAATATTTTCTCATATAAAACATGTTTGATATACCCTTGTTCCCTAATAACTGAACTTGGTCTTACTAATAACTTAACTTGGCGCCAAAAACCATTGTAAATAAGAACATTAGTTTTTTTTTTTTTTTTTTTTTTTTTTTTTTTTAATGTTGAAACATTAATAATCATTACGAATAGAACTCGCTAACGTGAAGAAAGATTGTTTAAAAAATCCATGATCAAATGCAGTGTTTTAACGAATGCTTTTAACAGCCGGTAAAATCATGTGTTTTTATATGTAATTAAAGTCTAATAAATGCGTAGGAATCGAAAATATTTGGGGCTTTAAAAGAAAAGAGAAACATTAAACGAGCAAAGTAAACGAGCACATTGGAATAAAAGAGTTTTGGGTGCGTATTAGAAAAGTGAAGAAATTTTAATTATTATTCATACTAAATGAAAAATGAGTTTAATTCAATGACGTATTTGCTACATTGTACATTCCATAATTATTAAATGTCATTAGTACTCGTTGCACACGGAGCAGATTGTAGTTGTATATTTATTATAAATATGTATCAAATGCATTTTACGATGAGGCGAAATATTAGATACGAAAACAAACTGAACAATCGCATTTATCCTTAATACCTATGATATAATTAACCAACTTCGGCTTTTTCCCAAAAAGAAAATTATAATTTCGTAAACTTTATAATATACAAGAATGATTATTATTATTTTTCACTGACGTTTAAATAATTATTATTAATGTGATGTGTGTGTGTGTGTATATATATATATATATATATATATATATATATATATATATATATATATATCCGTTCGCAATAATAAGTATTTTATTTAATAACGTGTCTTAGGAATGTTATGTTATTTTATATGCATATGTATCGAACAATCTTATGCAACGTGTGTGTGCGTGTGTGTGTGTATATGTCAACCGTGAAACTTCATTTTGTACATAGAGAACAATAATATTAGTCGTTAAAGCAATTATGCATTTTAATTTTGCCGATATAAAGTTTCAAAAGTCCTGTGAGATATTTGATTTATTGACCAATAGCTTTATCTTGACCATTTATCGTTAAGTACATTTACAAAACGAAACAATAATTATAATAGCAATAATCAATAATTAATAATAATGTACGTAATATTATAAAATTATTGTTTTTTATCCTCGAATAAATTCGTATTTAATACTTCCGTATTCATGTAATTATGTTTTATGTTTTATTATGAAACGAAGAAAATTCACTTAAACTTATATAATAAATGCATTTACGTTTGAAAATTGCCTATAAAATATTGAAATTCATTATATTTTATTAAACTTACATGCATCTACATATGTACAAAAACACTCGTTTTCCAACATTTTCATATAATTAATTGATCGATGAAACATCGTTGAAATTTTCAGTTTAAATGCTTATACGTCCTTATTATATTCATTCTTCAACTAGTATTAATAAATTAACGAATCTCTTTTTCAATTAAAAATCAATATAATATTTAGTGCCATTTCGTTTCCTGTGCCCACCCTCCAGTCTTTTACTCTTTTGAAATCTTTTTTAATCAAAGATATTCTCAATGAGCTTATTTTATCCGTATTATCGTCGAGTCGCCGCTTCTAAACGAACATATGGATTACATGGAATCCGTTAAAACGTAATTTCGTACGCAAATTAACTAGAGTCTTTATTTTTTTTTTGTTTTAACATTTTAGATGAGCGAATTTCATGAACATGTATATGAACGTATTTTTTTTTTTTTTTTCCAATCAATCTTATTTTCAAAAAAAAGAAGTTGGAAACAAAGAAGAGGAGAAAATCAAGACTAAAAGTAGATGAATAAAATAATGAATCGATACTTTATAAAGGCGAGCGACTAGGCACCTAACGCCATCTTTATTTCAAAAGGTGGCGCCTTTATATTTATTAACAAATCACAATTTGAATATTCCTAAAGTCTAAATCTATTTGCCAAGCTATAACGTACATATTATTATGCAAATACTTCTCTTAAGTCCGTGATAATTGTCGTCTATACGATTAGTCAGTTGTTTTTTTCGGTTCGTATTTTATTTAATAACGAGTCTTAGGAATGTTATGTTATTTTATATGCATATGTATCGAAATGTATCGAAATTACTGTAATTAAAGATGTAAATATTATATAACTTTGTACTCATAGAGGCTCGGATAAAAGATTTTTACAGCTTTTACGTATGGAAATTTATTACGATGTGTAGAGAAAGAAATATATTATTAGATAAGCAAAACTTAATTCGTCGGAGCGCGCGCGCGCCACATGTAGCGCCAACATACCCATATATAGCACTCAAATTGTGACATGTGTACGCACATTAATTGTTATTCATTACGTAACGCGTACTTTAACGTATTTTAACGAGCCATCTGTAATTTCTTATTAATTTTACTTTCCTATTCTGGTTAATTATCGATATAATTTAATACCAAATTAAATATTTCTCCGACATCCTCGTACCATAATAACATCTCTAACATCTCCAAATTAATATCTATATACATTCCTAAATTTTTGTTCAACTTAAAATTATTACCACATAAGTGATATTACGCATTGTATCATTGAAACGCCGATTGCACGGTTATTGTTATCGTATGAGTATATTATAAATAATTTTATTATATTGCAATTTTCTCTAATATTGTTACATAATTATTGTAACTTTAATCAATCATTAATTTTAGCTCAGTAATTGATATAATACACAAAGCTACTTCTATGAGCAATGATAAAATTGATTTTTTTCTTTTGGTTATCGAATATTTGAATAATTATTACGAATAGATTATTTAAAAGACATATTTTTAAAAATTGTTTACATACTGTGATAATATATCGTACAGATTGTTACATAAAATAATAAGTAATAATACTAAGAATAATAATCATTATTAATACGACATTATTGTTAATTAATTTTGGGAACCCAAAAGTTCATTATCTCGTCACAACGAGAGCACATTTATCTTTTTGTATAAATTTTTCTGTAAGAGAAAAAAAAAATAACAAAACAATTCAAATCCTATTGTTAAAAATAATGTAATTGGAACCTACTAATTCCTCGTAACTACTCGTCTATATTCACTTTGTATTGGTCGTATTAAATATTGACTTTTAGTGTAAATCTTATTTAAGAAAATAATAATACGTAGCATTATCTGCATATTGTACATATTTGCTAATTATTCCCAATAATTCTGTAACTTTCACTCTGACAAGTTTCTTGAAAAGAAAATGATTTAATTTTTATCTTCGTATTATCTTCGGATTATCTTCGGATTATCTTGGGTATGCAAATATTTGATATATATATATACTATAATTTTTTGCGCTTCAATTTTAAAGAGCCAGAGTTTCCATTTATTTATTCATACAGTAATGTAATTATACATTTTCTTTACCTATTATAAAAAATACTTTTTCTCCTTTTTTTATTTTTTTTTTTTATTTTATGCTATGTATTATTATTTTAGCGTATACACTGTGAAGAGTCTTCTTGGAAATTTTAAGGCTTGGATTATTAATAATCAAAATTTTATGCTACGAAAAATTATATATTTTGGCGATCAATCGCTTATTTTTTCATCTCTACGAAGTTTAGTGCTTTTACTAAATATGCATTTTGTACTGTTATGTCCTCACTAATCTTCATTCAATTTATATTAATCGAATTGAACTGTATAAATCGAACTGTACATTTCAACATGAATATTGCTTATTTTTCTAATTACGTATACTAAAAAAATACTTGAAAAGAAGTGAGTAAATCAAGCGAATCGTTAGTAATATTTATTTTATTTTATTTTATTATATTATATTATTATTATTATTTTTTTTAATTATTATTATTATTATTATTATTATTATTATTATTATTATTATTGTTATTATTAATTTTAAGCTATAATATATGCATAATGATGTTTATACACTACCTTTAACTCTACGCTGATCATTATTTATACAATTATACGTTTAGTGAAAGTTTATTTTTATCATTACTAACTTAATTAAAGATTCTGTTTTATTAATTTTAGGTGAGAGCATTATGCCGTGAAAGTTTATGAATAAGTAGTACATTGTATACATAATATATGTAATTGTAAAGTTCTATATTATATGTATGTAAGTTGAAATTTTTCATTAATATTTAATATTAAACAACTATAATGTTCTGTTTCGCTTATCAAGTAATATAATCATCATCTACATTAATAATATCAGTTATATTTTTTATAACTTTTCGAAGAAAATTTTCTGTACATGAAACGAGTCCCATTAATAAAATATTTAATAGAATTTTGTAACGCTCAAAGATTAATTTTGTCTATAATTATTAATTGTTTTACTCTTACTTCCTCAAACCATCTCGTTCTCTCTTTTCCTATGCTCTATTTCATACCAAATCCCACCCAATCAATCTCTTCGCTTTCTACACAATATATAAGTATAATTTTGTTACGTTTCTAAACAATTTACCAATTCATATATGACTTAATAAACGATTTATTATTATTATTTTCAATTCATTAATAACAATTTATAAATGCTACATTGCTATAATGCACGATTGTTCACAAATTCATTTACATTGTACATAGTTATTTCTCATTCTTATTTCTAAACTTGAAACACATGACTTGCATTTCTAAGACTCGTCCTATTTACAAATTAAAGTTACTCTATTTCCTCACTTTTACAAAGCAAATAACACGGCTTTTCTTAAAACTGCATTGCAACTTTTAAACCTTATTAATATTTATTGTTGTTGTTGTCGTTGTTGTCGTTGTTGTTGTTGTTGTCATTGTTATTTCATTGCATTTTTTTTCTATTGCTTTTAATTTAATAATAATAACATTCTTATTATTATTATTATTATTATTATTATTAATAAGAATTAATAAATTAGGCATAGAAGCAAATTTAATGTATAATTTAATGTATAAAATGAAAATGTTTTATCAATTTTAGTTGACTTCTTTTCATTTAAAATTAATACATATATTTTGCTTTTTTTCAATTGTTTAATTATAAGCGATTAAAATTCTTATTCATAATCTTATATTGTTTGCCACTGTAATAATTATAAGAATTTCAATAAGCATTTGAAAAAAACAATCGAATAAATTAATGGAAATATTAAATATATTAATGATATGTGTTTAAAAGATAGGTAACAGCGCGCAAAACTATACGTTTTTGTTGCCGTGGTAGAGTGAGAAAATTATTTTCAACATATAAACACTGTATGAAATTCTTTGTTAAATAGTTCTGATTGTTCAATGTATTAAATAAAATAGAATTTTCTTGAAAAGTTAATTTAGATTCTCATCTATATTCTTCGTTACCTTAAAATTTACATATTACTTAATACTAAGTAAATGTAATATTTGAGAAGCAAGCTTATGAAATAAGAAGAAATAAGCAAATAAAAAAAATATATTTTCATTATTTATTTTAACAATCCGAAAAAATAATACAAATGTTGATAAATAAGTATAATAAGCATTTTTTTTTTTTTTTTTTACCATACATTCATAATTACTTTATTAATTTCCTAAATCTCTTATAATCTTTTAATGTTAATATTGAACGTAGACTTTGTATTTCGATAAAGCTTGGTATTATAACGACATGAAATTTTTAATTTTATTAATTATCTTCTAATGAGTCTATCAAATTTTTGCAGCGCTTCTATCATCGAGTAAACCATTCAATTCACTACTAAAAGAGATAGTGGTCAATGGCTAATCACATATATATTGTTATTATATATTTTAATTAAAGCATCGAATAAGTGTAAAATTATATTGTAAACGAGGAATTTTATTCACATAACAGATCACTTGTTTTGCTAATTCTGGTAAATATTTTCTGTTGATTCGGTATATATTCAGTCGACACGGCAGATACGGATACAGTAATATATTATTTATGAATTAATATTATTATTTTTTTTTTTTTTTTTTGTTTTTTTTTTTTTTGACTAAAAATTACACAAATATAATTTTAGTCGTCATAACCTGTTGCATACATCGGAATGCCATTCGTTGATTCGAATGGACGTTGAAGAATCGGAAATTTTTATTAAAAACATTAATGTGCGTTAAAAGAACATTTGTCCAATTTGTACGAATTGACATTGATTTAAAAGAAGATGTTGGATGAAATTTTTCAATCAAATTTTCAAATAAAATGCAAAATAAACATTGGGCAGTCTCCAGTATCTAGATGATGTATCTGTATAAACGTTATGTTGGAAAACTCCTTCTGGGCAGCACTTTCGTCGATAGAATCTTTTACGTCAAACTTTTTTTAACAGATTCTTTATTATGCTTTGACTATTGCAATTTTTAGGCCTCAATTGAGGCATTTGAGACCGAAAGTTAGCTCCTCGCACGCACTAACTGCATTGTAGTTATTTTGTGCAATACGTAACCTGTCACACGTATAAAACAAAAAAAAGCAAAAAATGAATGAATCGTATATAATATTCGCGTAAATTTATTTTTCAATTTATTTTTCAATTAAACTAAACAGCAACGGCAAATGAAAACATGGAATTATAAAGTTTCTTTATTAATACGAAAGTCGTAAATTGTGTAGAAAATATTTTTCAAAATTCATAAAATAATATTTTACATGATAGCTTATGTTATTGTAGAATCGTATGGCAATTGACAGAAAGTAGAAAATATTGGTATTTATAAAATTTATTTCAATTTTATACCGCGATCGCTTATTAATCGACACTCGTAGCTTTAAATGCGTACAGTCTCGCGAATCCAAATATTGCGAGTATTTTGATAAGTTGTAAGGTTCTTGCGGTATCTTCTTGATGTTCTTAAAATAGGCCGCCGCTACACAGGTGAACGTTTGAAATCTTGGAGTCATTGACCTCTTAAGAGCCCCTCTCAAATGAAAAATCATCCTCGGCCTCGGCTTAACTTCATTTCATCTATATATATATATATATATATATATATAATGTACAATTTCTCTTAAGCAAAGCTACGATATTATCAAAATCTATCTTATCAAGGCTACGGCCTAGTAAAACAATAATACGATTATTGTAGAGTAGTAGCAACGGTTACTTCGCTATCAGGTTTCAAGCGCTCCAATGTCATTTGAGGACAATTAAAAACATAATTATCACACGGCCACCTGCTTTGGCCAGTCAAGCGAAGTCATAAATGACTGATAAATTGCAAGTTATCCTGTCGTAATTACCATACTACTTGAATTTCGTTTAAAAGCAACAGCAAATGAACGAGAAGGCAAAGTAGAGGTGAAAAAAAAAAACAAAAAAAAAAAAACAACAAAAATAGAGTAGCATATAATTGCGAATAATGCACATTCTTGTGGATCTTCTTGTCGTATTTGTATAACGAACTCGTTAGATCACAGCTGTTGTAAACCGACCCTATGTTATATATGCCAAACAAGGAGCGCCGAGGGTCATCTCGTGTCGAATCGTGTGCTATGCCCGTCGTGCTTAAGTTAAGATTCCATGAAATAGAAAATCTCCATGAAATATGACAGAAATGCCGATAAACAAAAATAGCGGGACTATCATGTACCGAGTATTGTGCTATAGTTGATGATTCCGTAATTAGGTAAAGTAAACGTAGTATGAGAATGTGAAGAAGATCGAAGATCCGTGATTGTAATAGATTGAGTGACGCTACGAGTTCGATCCGGTAAGCTAATCAACCAGTTGAATGAATAAAATTAACATAATAAATGAAAAATGTAAATTCAAATGTTAAAAAAGGCCTATTGTATAAAAGTCGAATACTTTGAGAAATAATAAATCTAACTATCGACAGATATTATATTTCATGTACATTCCGATGGTAAGTTAATATTGTTTTTCTCGATCATATCCATTCGCTTGTTTATAACGATATTCCACAAATTACAACAATTAAATAATATATTTTAGTGTCGCCTCTGCGCCGATATGTAAATAAGCAAAGAAAAATAAGTGTAAAATTGTATTGTAAATGAGAAGTGTTTTTTTTACACGATAGATCATTAGGTTCGCTAACCGTAATTATTTGAAAGAATCCGTTAATTTTTGTATGATCGCTGACTCGAATGGGATTATCTATTGTTTATGTAAAGATTACGTTTTCCCATTAAAAATGACTTCGAATTTAGTGAAAGGTTTCTTTTTAATTAACGGATTGGCCGTTGCATTTGGCGGTGTGTTGGTAAACTTTTTTGAAAATTATTTGCCAACGTCTGTATCAAAAATCTTTCGATATGGCAAATTTTGCTCCAACGTAAAAAATAAATTTCTGGAGAAACTCGAGGTGCCAAAAAGGTAAATATATAAGTCATTTATTTGCAATTTTCGATCGAAAAAATTAATATTTTTTATTCAAATTACATCAGGTGGTTTAAGCATTTTTACACATTTGCCGGTCCATTTTCGACCGCTGCTCTTGTCCTTGTTTATTATAGATATTATCAAAGTGATAAATTGCCAGACATAGTAGTGAAAATATTGAAATTCTTAATGGGCCAGCCAACATTATCACTAAGTAAGAAATAATATTTTAAATAATTTTCGCACATTCGTCTTGGATTGCGAAATATAATACTTCCCGATTTGCAGTTCCAGCAGAAAATACTATCTTTGCGCTAATTTTATTAACAATACATTGTTGGAAAAGATATTATGAAACTCATTATATAAGTGTGTTCAGTAATGCATATATGAATTTTACTTTTTACATAATAGGTTTGTTTCATTATTTAGGAACCATAGTTAGTATTGTTGGCGAATCATATGATATTACAAAAGGTATATATGCTAATTAAACATAAAGTTAATAATTAATTTTAAAATATATATTCGTTCCCCATTATATTATTTTATTAAAGATACAAAGGTAGATGTAAACTGGACAAGACTGAGCCTTACAGAGTATACTTGTGCTACGGTACTTCTCATATCAACGTATATGCAATATAGAACAAATATCATTCTAGCAAACCTTAGAAAGGATAAAAAAGGAATTGTTGTAACAACAAATTATAAAATGCCTGAAGGAGAACTTTTTAATTTGATATCTGGACCATTACAATTAACCGAGATTATTATATACATATGCTTATCGATTATCTTGAGAAAGGCATATACATTTCATTATGTGTCCTTTTGGGTTATAATGAATCAGGTAAAAGTTTTTTAATTTGTAAATTTTTCATTTTACTTAAATTTTTTTTTTTTTTTTTTTTTACAAAACTAACAATTATGTGTACTTCCTTTACAGGTGGAATGTGCATATTTATCTCATCAATGGTCTGTAAAGACTTTTAAAAATTATACTAATAGGAAAATAATTTTGCCATTTATCTTTTAATGTCATAGATTTTTCAGCTTAAAATATAAATGTTTATTTATTTATTTTTTTTATTTATACAGATTTTCAAATAAAGTTATCTAATTTAATAATTACATTTTTATTATTTTTCTAAATGAAATTTAATTTGTAATATTTAACAATTGTTCGATCTTATATTTATATTTAAACAAGGAATGATTTCAAGGACATTAAGTAAAAACAAAAGCACAATACAATCATACGTAATAAAGCTTTCGAAAACTTTTTTGAACTATAACCAGTACAGTACGGGCTTTAATTTAATGTGCTATTTGGATAAAATTTAAATCATTTTATCAAAAAGGCATTGATAAAATTTGCAATTAAATATAACTGCCGATGAAATGATTTTTTTTTTAAATTGTGTGGTCAAAAGTTAAATTTACAACATAAATGTGTAAATAAAAAATTTTCAATCCAAATTTGTATTTTCTTACGATATTTCAAAATAAATTACATTTATATTTAAAAAATATCTATATATTAAAATTCAATTGTATGCAAGAGATAAAAATGTTACTAAAATCCCTCTCTCTCTCTCTCTCTCTCTCTCTATATATATATATATATATAGAGAGAGAGAGAGAGAGAGAGATAAATTTTAGTAACATTTATATATACAGATCCAAAATTTGTAATCTATCCTCGTTCATTATATACAAATCTTTTTCAATTATAAATGTTTGTTTACGTCTATTTTTGTTTAACTTTTTAAGTACATTAAAAAGAAAATTTTACCTGTATGTCTATTTAAAATATAAAATGAACGATTAATTGAAAATATATTATACATATATATATATATATATATATATATATATATATATGTATAATATATTTTCAATTAATCGTTCATTTTATATTTTAAATAAGTTTTACTTGCAACAATGATGATATTTTATACTCAATTCAATGCAATACAACTGATAAATGAAAATGTACTTATTTTAAATATCATTTGTCATTCGATGTTATTGTAAGTACAGTCTCGTTCTTTCTTGATATAAAGTCTCGATATAAATACAATTTTAGCCTTCATGAATTGTTGCATCCAATAGAGATTCATTTATTTAAATAGAAGACTGAAAATATTTATAAAAAATATTAATGAATTATAGTTGAAAATTTTTGCTTATATAAATTATTCAGATAAACAGAGTATAAAAATTTAAGCGCAAGTACATTGAAAAATTATTTGTAAAATAAAAAATTATCGATAGTAGTGTTATTATTGAGTAATTGTAAAATATCTATTATAGAAGAAGAGATTTTCATAATCAATCAAATTCATAGAATATACTAAAATAATTCCAGATTTATCATTTCTTTTATACGTAAAATGCAATTATAGTAATAATTTCAAAGTACTTATAGAAAATGTTTTTATAATTTCAATAATACCTGTAAGGATAACCTTGAGCCTTGTTCCTAAATATTGAAAGAAGCAAACTGAAAAATATAGCTACGAGAGCCAATCCTATAACAGTGAATATTCGTCGTTTTTTAACATCACCTTTACGTGAAGCAGCTTCTGTCATGAAGATCATACCCACAACAACAGCCCCATCTATTAATTTTATTTAATATTAAGGAAACGATATGTTTGAATACTCAATTAACAAGCTATTTTTCAAAGTAATTTCTAAGTTTGCGAAAAAGGATACATAAAAGCAGAACGATATAAGTTTCGAGAACAAGTTGGCCCTGGGAGGAGCCATGAATATACGCTACATTGCCATTTGCTGATTTATAGACGAACGGAGGACCTCTGATGTGATTCCACATTTGACCCGATATCATTGTAAGAGTAAAGAGCTAGAAATAAAGTCATGTAAATTTAATATTAACATTTTAAGATTATAAGCGAAATAAAAGTTAAAGTTATACCACTGCACCGAGTCCCCAAATGGTTTTGTTATAAATAAAGTCAAGATTATTACGTCTAAGGTATAAGAATCCGCCTATTAAGATTAATAACATAAAAACAGCAATAATTCCAGAATAGCTTGGAGGCCTGAAGACACGGATCTGAGAACAAAATATTCGTGAATAAATATTGTTATTAATTAAATGCAATACTCGTACCTGTATATCAGTACGTTCCAAGATCCATTTTGCTATAGCCTCGGCGGCAAGTCCAACCCTTTGAATGTCCATTGTGTCGGCTGCTTTCGGTTTACCTTTAGCTGGAAAGTGCATATATACAGGTGCGGTATTCAATCTCATCTAAAATCAGAAGGAAAAAAATCATCGATAAACATAGGCGCTTAGACAATAAGAATATAATCATTCGTTTTTCAATCTACCATTTGAAAAACGTCCGAGCCTTCGTCAAAATCGACTAACGCAAAGAATAACTTATTCGAGTATGGCTGGTAATATCGAAAAGAGTTGGCCACTACAACAAACTCATCGTTCGCATGCCTAAAACATTTTTATTATCTGAAAATGAGTATTGAAAACATGGATAAAGCAATAATAAAGCTATTTATGATATTTATAAACCTGCAGATTTGGCACTGTCGCTGAGGTGCCATTGCCGTAAACATTACAATAACAGAATAATTCTTGGGCGTAGTTTTGATAAACTCTTTAAATTTTGCCGTATTAAATTTCATCACAGGTCTTTTCATAGACATATCCGTCAGCTGCTGTATACGATCAGCCAGTGAAGCACTCTGACTCTACAATAGAAATATAATAAATTAATATTTTGAGGTTAATATTTGCATTAAAGTAATTTCACTTTAAAAACTAAAGCGTCGAAGATACAGAGAATAGAGTGAAACCGAGTTAATAGCAGCGTTAACAATTCATAATAAACAATAACAATTTTAATGCTCGAATGAAAAAAAGGCATTTTTTTCGGGGTCGATGAAACATGTTTAAAAGGATCTTTAATAATAAGACATGAACGATGCAACTTACACTTTTCGTTCTGTACTGACAATATACATCGTTTAATAAAACTAAAAGTAATCCGATAATTGAAATGAGTATTTTGCTATACATTATTAATACACCACTTTACTCTAATTGGGAAAAAGTAATCGCTACTCTAACCGTTCGATTAATCTCAGCAGCTGATCAAACTTCAGCGACGTGTCGCCGACTTACAGCCAATTCTGAATTTTCCTTCTGGTTTTAAGTTAAGTACAGTTTAGATGCATTTACGTGCGCCGGTTATGTCTAGTTATTTTCTCATTTAACCAAGTAAACGGCATATCTGCAATTTATCATTTCCTTATTATTAAATAAATTTAATTCACGCTTTAGGTTGGCACTTGATAGATTGTCCGATCTATGAATAAAGTGATGTATTTAAATATAAAAGCAATGATATGATAAGAAGATTATTAGTCGTTTAACTGTGGATTTATTATGAGCGCTTATATATATATATATATATATATATATATAGTGTGCGTGCGTGTGCGTGTGTATAACGTCTTGCGCAAATTAAAATTTAAATTAACTATACATTCATATTGATATTGCATTGATAATATTATATATAATGCTTTTATGTATTTCATTTAATTTAAATTTAATTTGCGCAAGACGATTTATTGGCATTTGCAGTTTTACGTACGCATGCAGCACCATTCGAACATTAGGGCATATAATTTCCCGTGATAATTACATCACTAATGCATTTAAAGGCGAATAATTTATTTTCATACGTACATATGACATATTATCGTGTAAGCCGATAGGGCCAATATACATTTTTGAAAAAACTTTAAGAATTACATAAATATAAAATTCATATACTTACTTTCTTCATTTAAGATATCATGTACATTTGCATGAGAGTACATTCGATATCGAAGTTATCGATCCAACGATCTTTAATGCAAAGAGGCATTTCTTTTTTGCAGAACTGCTTAAGAGAAAAATTTAGCTCAGCCATATGCTAATGAACTAATAATCATTGTTATAACTTTCTTCTCCAATTGAGTTGGATGTATTATTGCAAAAAATGACAATACGATTAAAATAATTTGAAATACTTTACTGTGCGAGTGTCTTATCTTAATACCTTAATTTTTAAATTCATAATTTATAATTTCAATCAGAATTCAATTCATTTTTTAATCCGCTTTGTATTGACCTTAGTATTTGCAGAACTAAGATGGAGACACTGTTGGCACTACGTCTAAACTATGTATTGCACCGCTATAAAGGAAACATGATTAACAATAATTAATTACACCATACCAAGAGCGGGAGTTTCAATCAAATGTAATTGTAGCCTCTTGAGTCAATCATAAATATTGGAATAATTAAAAAAAATCTTTCTTGTATATTTTCCAAACTAAGACGATGGTAAAAAAAATGGAGTTTCCAATGATAAGTTGCAGCCATAGTAGAGACAATCTAATAAATAAATAAAAACAACAACAAAAAAAGAAAGGAAAAAAAAAGAAAGAATATTTATTCAGTTATATAACAGTTATGGGAAATGATTTAATATGTCATTAGAGATCTAACGAAAAAGTTTTAATTACGAGTTATCTTTAATGAACGAGAATGGAATGCATCCAAATGTAATTCAATTACTAGTAATTAATAAAAGAACAAAAATTAATTTTATAAGAACAAGATATCACAGTTAAGTCAATTGAACAATTCGGTAAATTTAAAAAACTGATTTTAAACGATCTTTTATATACGCTCACTTAATAAAGCATCTATCTTTCTCTTTGAATAAGTTAAACATATCGGTTAAACAAATATCATAAATACATTAATAAGTATTTGAAATAAATTTACATTTCTAACATTAAATAATGGCTTTTTTTTTTTTTTTAATCAAACAACATTAATAATGCATTAATATTAAATATAAAAATAAAGAAAATCTAACAATGATAAAACAAAAATTCTAGAGATGAAAAATAATGATCATAATTTAGTTCTTTAACTTTTCAATTGCTCGAAACAGAAGTAAGTCAAAAGTAATTAATATTTAATTATAGATTTCAGAATGCACCTTTTGTAAATATACGTGTGAGCATGTGTATGTGATACTAAAAAAAAAAAAAAAAAAAAAAAAAAAAAAAAAAATATTATATTTTTAATGATTTATAGAGAATTTATATTAATTTTCGATCAAATTTCAACAACTTCACTGCTAGATGCTTATATACTGTATACAATTATTCAACAAAGCGTAATTAGCAGAATAAATTATGTTTGTTATAAGTATGAATTCACTATTACGTATGTGTAGTAGGAGACAAATTCTTTTCCTTTTTTTTGTCTTTTTAATGCGGCAAGAATTTTTATAAGTAGCATTATTTAGCGTGTCGAATCGTTTTTATCAATTTAATTAACTTGCTTATAACTTAACGAATCAAATAAAATATAAATAAAATCGATAAAATGAACAAACTATTATTGATTATGTTTAATTGTATACGAATCACGTAATAGTTAGACAAATTGAAATCATCATTGAAAAAGATGAAATTCAATATTAATAGAAAGTAAAACGATCGATTGATTTAAATTTATTTGTTTTCACTTCTTATATATATTTTTTCACTAAAGCGAACTGCTAAAAAAAATTATATTATACACAGCACTGATAAGATAAGTCTTATGTGCAATTATATTGCTGTATTTGTTGCGCTTCAACGGTAATGATTGATATTTTAAAAATTTTATAGGTCATTAAAAAATTTGGAATTCATATCGAGGAAGCAAATGGTTTAGTTGCGAAGGTCATTTATTAATATATTAGCTTATAAAGTTTATAGTTATCCGTTAAGTATCTTCGAGCTGCAATAATCGTACGAAAAGTTAATTTTCCCAACAGCACTATAGCTACTATAGACATCAATTATTATTTTATCGCATTCACGATAAATATGCGATTATGACTTTTCAAAATAAAAGAAATTATATATCTCTCTCTCTCTCTCTCTCTCTCTCTCTCTCTCTCTACCTACCTACCTACCTACCTACGCTTTACAACGTACATTTGAGATATATTTTATCAATTGTTATCAGTTTGCGTGTTGCTGTTTGACATTAGCCATACGTTAGGGCTAAGTTTTACAAACTTAGCACCAAAATATATCGAAAATTATATAAATCTCGTATTAATAAATTATTATTAAAATATTTCAATTATATCTCAAAAATTTACTTTATTACTTGCTTGCACCGAACATGTCATTTATCGATTAAATATTATTGATTGACTAATTAATTCGTCGTGTGAAGCTGACGCCTTTGAAAAGCACTATTGCCTTAGTCTTAATCGAAATTAAAACGCGTAGAGAAATAATTTCGGTGTTTGTAATTCGAGCCGTCGATTCCAACGCCCATCATCCTACTCCAAACTGGACCCACGAAGCTCTATAAGGAATTTCTTACAAGGAATTTGAAACTTACTCGACTTCTCGATACTTCCACGCGAACGATGTTATTGCATTATGAAAAATAAAGGGCCAAGAAGCTCGCATTGAGTAGAAACATTGATGATTCCTTCAGCGTCAATATGAGCTCATGCTCTATCCTCGTCGCCCATTAGCTTTACGACCAGTGGCGTAACATCCGCCTTCACTCATACGTGTATTAAAAGTTAATAATTGCAGTTTTAAAAGTTAATACATCGCGTTACTATTATTTTTCGATATATTAATAAATCATACTTTTCACGATCAGGCACGCACACAGGCACATAATCTGTCTATCTTTATCTCGTTGTGCGCGCATAACATCACAGGATATATATATATATATATATATATATATTTGCATTTAAGAACTTCTTACGTGCATGTGTATAACGGGCGTAGAAGCACACCATCCGTAAAATCATATGGACCTATGTGTGAAACTAGGCATATGCGTACGCAAACGCGCCCACTCACGCTCGTACGCATAATAATAAAACAAGGCTCGCGTATCGAGACTTACATATGTTGTTTATATTTTAGAATTCTAAGCTTTAACAGTAGATGATATAGAAAAAGTATAATACGAAGGCTCAACCTTGTGCAATATTTTCAGGAATTTCTTTTCTTTCTTCTTTTTCGTTTTTTTTTCTTTTTTTTTTCTTTTTTTTTTCTTTTTTTTTTTCTTTTTTTTTTTTGTTTTTACAAACGATTAGAAAAACGACAATTATTAATCAAGGAAAAATTTAATATCTCTAACGATTTTACCGACAATTTCACTCGATCGCCTTGAGACGAAATATTTTTTGTATTTTATACACCTTTATATAAAAATCAATTGCAGATTGTACTTTATTTACAAATCTCATCTCACATTTCTAAATACAATAGTACCTTTTGCTGGATTATCTCGCTAGTTTGAACTATAATTTTCCAATACAAAGGCTCATCAAATCAAGCAATATTACATTATAAATCTACAATTATAGTCCCCGACTTTGTAACAATACTTTTTACTAAATCCTGCTAAAACCGTGGAGTGTTTCTCATACATCAACGACTCAAACGAATTACATTCAAAACTACATTCTCATAGAAATTTTAACATACAAGTTTTCATTATTGCGTAGGCATAATAAAATTTCATATCAATTGCAACGTTATCGTGTTTAATCTATCATACAACTGCTTACAACTTATTATTTATATTATAATAATGTATCGTGCATTGTTTTGTATTGCATCGGTTAATAATCATTTAATACACTTTAGCATGTGGATGGAATTACTCGACTTGAGATATTGATTTCAACAAACTAGCCTTAGATTTACAAGAATCCCTAGTATGAATAATTATTAATTATTTCTTTTAAAAGATCAAGGGCTTTCTTTATCCAATAAAAACGTATGAATAAATAAATATGTCATTCGATTGAAAATTTTCATATATTAATAAAAACATAAAATATGCTTTAAAATATAAAAATGCACTCGATGCTTTTGACTGAGAACTGAGAAACGCTTCCTCTCTCTATTCTCCTTCGTAATTGATCGTATCGATCTAAAAAAATTTCTTCCATAGGCAAATCGGTAAATAAATATCCAAAATATACAACGAGATTGTAGAATTAATTTTCATCGACATGGTTTGCTAACATTGAGTGAAAACATTGCTTCTTAGCACTGATTTAAAGGGCCGGAAGCAACGCAAACTCTACATTTTATGATTACGTAGTGTTTAAAATTACATAAAGTTAATTATCGCATTCGGTTAATGATTTTTATTTTTCCCCCTAAATCAAGAATAAATTAAGATTTTATAATAAAATGTCGGATAACTGCTGCTGTCAATGAGTAAAAATTTATTGAAAAAGCATTATTGAAAAATTGCATCGAATCACACAATTTTATATTATTACTTTTATATTATTATTGCCACTCTGGCGCACTAGTGAGTTTCAATCATTAACGATTGAGAATTTTGCAGATATTAATAAAGCATATCGTGATTGTCCAAAGATTTTCGAGTAATTACGAGGGTAAAATAAACTTAAACAGGAACAATGGACGATGATGTCATATATTACAGCTTTTCCGAGAATTTTTTCTTTCTTTCATTATTTATCTTCGAAAGGGTCTCTTTTTATTTTTGTCTGAGATAAAAAAAAACAAACAAAACAATTAAGAATTAATTAATAATAATACAAGAGAACAAAGAAAACAGTCGCATTAGCTAAAAATTTATGACATTCGAATTCACATTAATTGCTCAAATAGAATCTTCCGAGTATTAGATGATAATTAGTAAATATTCTCGAGTCAAAGCCAATTAACGTTAAAAGTCTCGATTACAATACGAATTACTTTGATTACATACGAAATTTCCAATCTAAGCCACTTTACTTATCACGACGCGACTGCAAATTCCCTGAAACACCTCCGCAATCACCTCGTTAACCAACGTCGTACTTTATCATCGTAGATAATTAGTCTACGCGTCGCTCTTAAATCCATTCGTCCCCGTTCTCTCTCTCTCTCTCTCTCTCTACTTACATCATTCTCATCGTTATTATCACGTATGAATAATGCAATATTAAAGAATGCACGCTCGATACGAAGCGTAAACGCTCGCCAATCGCGAACGTTGTCAACCGATTGTCTAGTACGAGCGATGACAATATTGGCTCAAACACCGCTCGAACGGACAATCCCCAAGAAACGGGGCCTAGAAATGCGTCGGGACAACACCAACGGCACCAGCTACGATCTCCGAATATTTACGATACTTGCAAGATCGGAGCGACGAAATGTGCGAGCAAGCCGTCGAAGATCGACCGAACTTACCTACAATGCGCATGATGAATGTCCCTTGGGCCTCTCCGGCGAATTTTATTTAAATGCCTTTTTTGCGCCCAGGATAACGAGTAGCCAGAGCTTGCTGCAGGACACATACACGCACGCAGGCGCACAATAAATGATAAGAGCTCGTCGGTGCGACGTGTAAGATTAGGCGCGGAGGGGCCCAGCCCTGTGCAGCTATTATATGGGAACAAGGGGGGACGAGAGCCAAGGGCCAACCCTCGGCCTGCAATTGGCGGGAAGGTGCGGAGCCTCGGGGAGCAGCTTGGGGCCCGCCGTCGCTCCCTTCCAACATCCGTGTATCCGCGTACGTGCGTGCGTATGTGCCTATGTGCGTAAGCGCTCCGCCCGTACTTTGCGCAACCGTTAAAAATCAAAAGGACTACGGCGCACTATTGCGCTAACGACTCGATGCAGTCGCGCTTACGGTTTCCGAGGGTGAGCATGTGGCCCAAGTAGGGAGGCTTCTTAACTCCTTCGTCGCGTGCACGCCGTCGCGAGTGGCTTTTCCCTCGGCTCGACCGCGATTCCTCCGTTACGTAACATTCCACCCGGCTCCTGCTAACAAAGCCTCCGTCGTCTTGCCTCGTACCCACCAACTGACAAGAGAACAATGTCCTTCTCCAAAGCGCGAATTCAACGTTTCAACGAACTGCCGAGTGAGTAATAGTAGCAGTAGTAGTAGTAGTAGTAATAGTAGTAGTAATAGTAGTAGTAGTAGTAGTAGTAGTAGTAGTAATAATAATAGTAGTAATAGCAATAGTAATAGAGAAGTAGTAGAGTCGTCGCGTAATTGTTTTTATAGTAATAATAGTAACGTAGTGGCAGTAGTGATAATAGTAGCGATAGCGATAGTGCTAGTGATAGTGGTAGCAATAGTAAAGTAGCGGTAGTTGTAGTAGTAGTGGCGATGGTAGTACGTTGCGTGGCTGATTGATTATCTCGCAGCCGACGAAGCTCGCTCGTACATCCATCCGTGGGGACTCGTCGTCGTCGTCGGTCCGTTACCCAACCTGCGTTTTAAATCGCGCGGAGGCGCCCGAATCAACGAATCAGCGCGCAGCCCGAGTATTTTAAATTCGAGCATGGAGTGAAAATTGGCCGGGGGTGGCGCGCGGCCCGGAGGCACGAGGACTCCTTGGACGAGCGAAGGGCCATGAAGTGTGAAAGCAAGAGAGCCCAGCCCTTATTTCTTTGGCTCTTTGTGCCGAGGGTAAAAAGGGGGGGGGGGGGGGGGGGGGGGGGGGGGGGGGGGGGGGGGGGCTCATGAGAAAATTGCGCTTCCCCGGCGAGAACAGCAATGTTCCGTACACCTGGCATAATATCGTGCAGCCAAGAGCTCCCACAGCTGTCCCCCTCGTCCTTTTCTATCTTGCTCCTGCTCGCGTGTGTTTCCTCCCCTCGGCCAATTACCCGTGCAGCCGGCCCCCCTTTCCCGTTTCCTCCCGCCGTGAGGGAACTGTTGTCGCCGTAGCCGCCGTAGCCGCCGTAGCCGTCATCGATACGTTATTGGCGTGGATCCTATGGGAATTTTGAACGTCGAACGGTCGACAATGAGTATTCATATTTACGCGCTAATGCGTTAATGCTAAGCCAATTCGCCCCCATTATTTGATTTGCTGGCATTCACTCTTACAATAATTCACGATGCTTTTATCTCCGTCGCTGCGATTATCAAATTCGATATTCACTCTAATGTAAACATAGAACATACGTTTAAAAAAGAATAGAAGCCAGTGCAGACACTCGTTTTTGATTATCCGATAATTGTTTTTATTGAGATTGCCGGATTCATATCGATGTATCTTGATATTTTGGGCTTTAATTATAATTGTCACTTGTGGGTTTATTTAACTATGACAGATGTAGATAAATTTTTAAATAATAATCTCGGAAGTTTTATAAAAAACGATTTGACACAATAACACTTTAGTAAAGAACAATTTAAAACGAAAGGATAAATCTGTAAAATTAAGAGATTCACTTTATCCACTTTAGAGGATAGAATATTATTTTCTGATATCGTACCGCGTAGCTTTTCCCACTTTCTCTCGGACGCCAGATAAAAGAGCAGTTTTTTTTTTTTTTTTTTTTTTTTTTTAAATCGTGCTATCGACCAATAAGTAAAAAGCGCCCAACTATATTTATCCTACGTTCGATAATGCTTAAAGCCTAATAAATGTCAATAAAAACATATACCTATATATATATATATATATATAAAGATAAATAAAAATGTGCCTACATCACTTTGGCCGTTAAAATACAAAATAAATGACTTTTACTTTTGTACACGTTATTACCCAAGTGGCAAGTGCTGTGCATATCGTTGCTAGTTGACAAACGATCGTCACTTTTGTTTTAATGCTGAAATTGTAAAAATTTGTAGGCGAAGTACCTCCGCCTGGTGCTTACGATCCAAAATTCGGCAGCAACGTGTCAGGCTCGATCGCGAAGAAGACCGGTAGGTTGAACGATGCGAAGAGTACGACGAGCAGCGGCGCCGAGTACAGTGCCTCGGTGTCCAGCCGCAGCACCAGCATCAAGCAATTCAGAACGGTAACGCATTGCAAAAACCTCTGATCCATAATTAACAGAAGAATCCTCTTCGAGATATTTTAGTCGAAAATTTTTAAATCGCTATTCCATTCCATGGGAATATTAAATGTCAGCGATACGTACTTTTGATTTGATTCATTAATTATCCCTATGAAATAATCAAGCATTACTATTAGTTACTAAATAGTTTTTATAATTTTCTATTTCATTTCTATTATATTTTATTAATATTGAATTTAAATGTAATAAATTGTTTTGTATAATGTTTTATCGCGATGCTGTTGTAATAAAATTCACATTGAATCCCAATAAAATTCTATAAAAATTTGAATTCAAGCATTTATAAGAAGAGATTTGTATGATTTTCCAATGTACCTTAAGGCCTTTTAGCGATTAAGATTATTTTCAATCGACTCATGAAAAATTCTTCGATTATCCATGTAATTTGCAACAGAATAAGCAATGTAGAATTTTTTATATAACATGAATTCACGATTTGCACACCGAAACTTATCGTACACTTATATTTCTATAAAATGCTCGCGATTTCTTGATATATTACAGTTCATTTGTTTGTGTTTTTTTTTTCTTTTATGAAAGTAAAGTGGATAACTTTTTATGTATGACTTGGAAAATAGATTTTGCATAAATATTTCTCACGACAGCCGCAATTGCCCAAGAAACGTGTGTTTGTAAAGCCAACTGGAACGAGTTGTCCACGCGCAAGAACAAAATTATACGCCGAACAAAATAATTTGCAATCCAAATACGGGACTGACCAAGAATTATCTGACTTGAGGGTTGAGTGCGCTAATAAAGACAAAACTCTTCATGAATATGAGAAGCAGATAGACGACATGAGAGCCGAATTTCAAGATCTTACTGAGAAATATAAGACTTTGCAGAATGACAATTCACAAGTGGAAAAACAGCATCGAAATGAAATTGAGTCGATGGTAATCATGATTTTGAATCAATCAATAATATTTATAGACGATGCGCGCTATATTATGTTAAGGCTATTATATACGCTTATTATAATTTAAGGCTAAACTACAACAAGAAGTGATGGACGATAAAAGCGAGAAACATCAAATTGAACTGGACGCTCT